CAGCGGCTATCAGTGATGACTATAAGTACTCAGAGTCAGCGATAGATATGCCTAAAAATCCCTAAAACTAACTTCACGAATCTCCAATCCCAATATGTAAAACCATAGGCCTACTTAATGTGCAGTGTTAGCGTAAATAAAACTCGAAGGCTAGATGACAACACCTCTTAATCAAAGTCTGTTGTGTTAGCCGTGTATAGCTAATTAGGCTACTCTTAACTGGGGCAATTAGCTGAGATGCTGAGAGCACTCTATAGCTAATTATTGCTAATGCTAAACCAAACTGGGTCTCTTCTAACTGAAAAGCAAGTCTATGACCATGGACCTTTTATTACGGTATTGTCCCAACTACATTCAGATAGAAAACCGGTTGCTGGGTTTCAGATGACATCACTACATTATAAATATGGCTTGGTCTATATTTCATGGCAAAGTACAGTGTAATCAATAGGAAAAACTGACTCTTGCCCCCTATCTGGAAGTATAACCTCGTCACATTCAAGCTGAAAACTACCAATAATGTAATATAATTGAATTTTAACCATTAAGCCTATTAAACCAACAAAAACCAGTCAGGGTGGTCAATAAGAAGACTGGCGCAAAAACACATTAATTACTTGGAAGAGGTAAAAAGATCCTTATTTTGAAAGCTGTGGTTTAAAACAAACCATTAATGGGAGAGATGTGATCCTGTGGTGCACAATGGAATGAAGCTGTATTTTTATAAGCCCTGAGCCACATTTATATTTTCTGCATTTCTCCAAATTATTTTTTCTTCTTGCAGTTGTGCTCCTTTCTCATGGTAATTGGTGCACTTAGTCTAATGTAGGTAATGACTGTTTTCCAGGCTGGCCCCTTATCCAAAAATCCATAACTGGGCCAAGATTTATTACTTTAAATTACATCATCTATGTGCTCCTGTTAAGTAGCATTTCCTTTATCTTCAGCTGTCCCATTTTCATATACTTTGTACTTCATATTTACACAAAAATATGATATTCTAGAAATTGGTGTGTGGCCCATTAAATAAAAATGGGCTATGTGACTTTCCTGGTGGAGGTTTATTGCACCTGCTTGTTGCCATGGAGATGTTATTGCTTTGCCTGGAATGCTGCGCAGTATGGCATTAAACCAGTTGGTCTTATTTATTCAATTACAGATATTTCTTTGCTATTTAAAAAAACACACTTATGCATTCTTGTTGTAAGTGGACTTGCCTCTCACACTGGTAAAGGGTGGTGTCCCCTGCTTATCTCCATTAAAATAAATGAATTTAATCCTACATCCAACATCTCTTTGAAGAAAAGAATGTGTCATGCAGGCGTTTCTTGTGTCATTGTTTGAGAATAAGTAATTTTTGCCGAAGGACTAAGGCCTTCTATGTTTAGAACATCCTATTGATGAGGCTTTTTCACATTGTTGTTTTCTCAGGGGAGGACAGTCATGCACCCTACAGTCTGGCTCTAGGGCAGGTGCAGATCCTGTTGGTGGAAATATTCATAAGACTTCCGCGACCGCCCAGATGGGAGTTCAACCAGAGGATTGTGTGAAGAAAAATGTGATGATCCATTGTAAAGGAGGAGTTAGACATGTAAAGTGACCAACATATGAAGAGAAGAAAAATGTATATGATTAGATGCTTACATATCGTAATTATTTTGTCTAAGCCCCAAGTCAAGGAAGATCATAGAACTTGTGTCAAATAAATATATAAAGCAGGAAGGAGCATTTGTTGAGGTAATGTATGCAAAAACACAGGATATAATTTCAGTATAAAGTCAGTATATTCTCATAATTTATACATAGACCTACATATTCGTGAGGATGGGTATTTCCACAAAGTACAAATACCAGAAATTGTCAGCATTTTTATTAAACTAATCCAGGTCTGTCACCTGCAGTGTGTCACTCAAATGGAGCAACAGTCTCTGACACTAACGCTAATAACATTTCACTATACGCCTGCACATATACAGCGTGTTGTTGTAGATACAGTATACAGTGACATGTACTTTTGACCCTATGAACTGTGTAATGACTCCGCCACTTTGCACATCTGGTCTTTCTAAATTTACTGGACACGAAAACTAAATTGACAATAAAATCTATTACATTATCTATAAATCTAACTTTTTCCCATTGAAAAGTTAAAAATGGCAGGTAGCTACTCCATTTGCAAGAAATTGTGTCAACATAGTGAATACCTGTAAATCGTAAACCATTATTCATTTAATAGTGCACAAAGTTTACAACTGTATTGGAATGTGATGAATCTAATTATTCAGAAATGGCTCAACTTGACTCAGAAATCCTTTGGGGAGCTACTTGGAAGTTGGTGAGGATCTTGTAGCACCCAGGTTAATTGGAGACATCTGTATGGTCCAGTCCATTCAAAATCATAAAAATACTAAAACAACCATAGCTAATAAACAATATATATATATAGGGAAAAAAAAACTAAATAAATAATGAATAACTAAGCAAAACTACCAAAAATAACCACTGGTCTGCTCTTCTGTCCAAAGGTCTGAAATGTAAAGTGGATGTGTTTAATCTTTGACTGGCCCTGGTTGGAGGCATCAATCAAAACAGCCACCTCTGAATCTTATAACTGTCACCACTGTCAGAGCTGTCAATCACCCGCTCCCTCCCCTTCTCACATGAAAATTAATCTCATTGTACTGCATGTATCAAAATATATATGGAAAGACAATACAACTGATGGCTGCTAAATAATATAATTTATTTAACTTACCTCACATATGTTTACAACTATATACTCTTATAGGCATAATAAATAAATAGCTCATTTTACTGTTGACAAAGCTGCATTTAAAATCTAATTAAAATTAGAGTTTCTATGCTTTTTTGGTATATTTACAAGTATCACACAAAAATACATTGCATTTTACAACACAGAGCTACAGACATTCATGTTACATTCACATTTAGTTTGATGAGATTGCCTGACACTTTGCATAGCATCAGAGCACAGTTTAACCCACGTCCTTATCAAACATACTGTGACAGTTCTAAGTCTGTGTCTAATAATGTAAAATGTTATAATTATACAGTATGACATTTCAGTATCAACATATTGTTCAAGCAAACCAATATGGCACTGATAAAACTCTCCTACAACACATGGTCACTGGATTTAGAAACTGGACATAATCTGAGTTTACTTTTTCTTCATATGTGTGTAACATGTCCTTGACCTTTCCATACTTTTAGGCCTGTCATGATAACAATGTTTGACAAAGTATGACATATAGCTACATTAAAATACCATGAAAAAATAGTCTATACCACTGATGCAATAACTTTAAAGCAGGATAAGCCCAGCAAGTTGTTTTATAAATGCATATTGTTTAAAAAATAAAACAAAACATAAGCTGCAATAAATGAATGAAGCAGAATCAAACAGTTAGTACCTATAATCAAAGAAGTTACCTGTTTGCCTCACTAAATCTTAAATCTTACGGTTCTCCATTAATTCAAAGAAAATGTACACATGATAAGCACTGAGCTTTCAGATATTGAATTATAAATTGATATAGTGACAGGCCTAATTCAACCATTGATCTCTGAATTAAGGCATAAGTTCCTAAGTGAAAACAGACTTAAACATACAACATCAAACCACAGGTGAACAAAGACAACATAGAAAGTAGTTACTGGCCGGAGTCTCATACTGTACATAGCAGGAGCCTTGAAGGGACTTATTCTCTGTCTCTGTACAGTAGAAGAAAACTGACCATCACTGCAGCGTTAATCAAATGTCCCGAGGGCTAATCAGGGACAGGATCAATACTGACCGGCCCCTCCGCCAGCGTCCTGGACTAACACTCATTTCCTGTCTCCTCTAACCTGCTGCGCTCAATAAAAGGTTTAGGACAAGGAAACAAACAATCATAAACACCCACACATACAACAATTCAGATATTTAAGACCATTTATCACTGACCTGGGCAATGAGAGGAGCTTAAACATTTAAACACTTGGAAAACAGTCTGCCAATGAAGGTATGAACCATATTAAAAATATAACCGCTTATATGCAAGAGCTGCAAATAGACATACTTAATGAATGTAGGCTAGAAAGGTTCATATTTGGACCATAATTTACTTCATCAAATATACCAAACATATGTAAACAAAGACATCATTCCTTAACAGTTTTCTTACTCTGCAATCCATTGCAATATCTTTTTTTTTTTTTTTTTTTTTTTAAGTTCAAGATCTTCTTCAGATACCTAAAGAGTTTGTTTGTATATCCACACACTATTGAACAGCACTGGCAAGTACCAAATTTACTGGTACACTTTGGCTTTGAATATATGAAATTTTATGTGATTATATTTTTAGTAATTGATTTATTTTTATCCTAAGAAATAGATGCAATGGCTTTGTGGATGGAGTCTCATTTAGAAAATTGAACTCTGTAATTAATTAGTAGTGTGACTGATGTTCTGAGTCATGATCTTATTTCTTAGCTAATTTGCAAGTAGCTCTGGATCTTGGCAAAATGTGAAGGGCAAACTTCTGCATGGACCATCAAAGACACCACTTAACAAAAGGACAATTTTTTTTTACACAGTGTTTAACTATCTGCACCTTAAAACATTATTGCTCTATTGTCTACTATGCAAATTAAATGTAAAAAAAAAAAAAAGCCTAAGACCTGATCTGAGGTCTATACACACACATAAACAGTATCGACACAATACAATTTTTATGATTAGATATTGCACTTTTCTCTTTACCAAAGCAGTCCGTTGTTCAAATATCCTTCAGTCAACTTTAGCAGCGTCAGTCTGGTTCTGTTGAGATGTTCCTTTGTCACACAAATTTGATTGAAAATTTTACTTCCTCAGACCTCTCCTTAATAAAAAGCATAAACTTGTATAGTCACTTTCTATGCATCCAGTGTGGCAGTAGCAAGTTTCCTGAAGAATACATCCTTTTACATTGTAGTATCTTAAAATTGATTTGTGCCGCTTAGTCCTCATTTTCAGATGGCTCAGGACTTGATCCACCATCGTCGCTCAAGATCTCAGTGTTTGTAAATGTCCCACCCCGTGATGCTCCCAACGCTTGTCTGACCGGTGCCATCTCTGCTAATCTAATATTATCCTGGTTGTTAACTAGTGTAGTCTTGTCCATAATCTCCTTGCTATGCTTGGACACCACTGCATCCAAAAAGTCATATTTGTGGGACAGCATACCACTTTCAAATAAATATTTAGTCAGATATGAAAAGCCAATGTTAGCCAATAATGAAGCTAGCATTGAAACAGATTTGAATGGGAAACGTTGCTGGATAAAATACTCCACATCCCCTGTAAGATGGTGGACCTTCTCTTGAGTAACCCAGCCGGGGTAGTAGATAAACGGGGGTAGTTTGAGGTAGGGTTCGCCTCCACCGATGCGCAACAAAAGTCCAAAAGTGTAGCCAGCCACAGAGCCATATGTATTAGTCCCTTTGACGAACAAAACACTAAGAAGTTGAGGAAAGATGATGACGTAAACCAGATCTGAACTCAAGTACCAGAGGCCATAGACAGATCCAGTTAGTAAAGCCATGGCAGTAGCAGCTGCTCCAAAAACAAAGATTGTGCAGCGCATCACCCATACTATTTCCCAGTCCGATGCCTGAACAAGAGAGAAAAACGTTCAAAATGAAATTAAGTTCAAGATGCTTCAGTAGTCTTATGGGATTATCAGAATGTCACGCAAGCACTAAACTTAAATGGTTGCATCAAGATAAGAAGTGGTTCTTCAACTGCATTATGCAAAGTCCCTCTGGTAGTAATACAGATTAACTGATGTTTTTGATATCCTTTGGGCTTCTCTCTAAAAAGTCATGGTAAGTGAAGCACCCGGGAACCCATTTCTGAATATTGAATTAGACATGGTCAGTACTACCAAGCCAGACATTGTTTAGCCTATACTGTACATGTTTTACTCTAAGTTGATTGGTGAACATGAAGTACCAAAAAAGAAAAGAAAAGAAAAGAAAAGAAAAAACACAATCACACACAAGGAGTAACATGCAAACTTTGCACAAAATGGCCCCACAACCAAAAAGGATGAGACCAAGGTGCTGGCCACTCAGTCAATGTTTGATGCTGATACAGTCAAATATCTACCATGAATCAAATTTAAAACAAGTGAAGAAGAGAATAACATGCATAAAATACAAATATATAAGATAAGCATGCAAGGGCAGCAGATTTGTTTTGTGAGAACCACAAATCGAAAAAGTCAAAAGAACCAGAAAGTTTTGATTAATTTGGCCACTTTTTCTTTACAACAAACAAACAACAGAAATGACAGAACAAAAACTGAAATTGATTTATTGATTGTTGTTCAGACTTTTCTAAAATTGGTGTAGCAGTAATTGTATTATTATCATTGTTGGCACTTACCGATTGTCGGAAGGCCTCTTGATAGATGTTCTTGGCAAACATGGAGCTGGCGGAGAGGATGGATGAGTCTGCGGATGACATCACAGCCGCTGAGACCGCCCCCAAACCAAAAAAAGAAATATAGGGCGGGCACAGGTGTTGGAGGACTATGGGTAAAATCATGTCCGACTCATCTTTGTCCTTTGGAGCTAAAGATCCATAAGTTGTCTGGTTCCAATCTGCAAGACAAAGGATTGAGAGTGGGCCAAGAGATAAATATTTTAAGCATCAAAAATACTCAGAGTTATGCGATGGATTTTTAAAGCTAGTACAGTAGGGGCAACAATAAAATGCTGTTTGCACTGTTACAATTTCTGTACGTACTTCTGTTATTTTCTACTGTTTTTACCTTTTTAAATATCCAAGTGTGGTTTAAAGGTGAAGTTTGTAACTTTTCTGGTGGAGGAACCTCCTCTACTTAACAGTATGACATTAAACTTATCTATTTCTTTAGAGCCAAATAGGTGATGCCACAACAGCAAGTTACCAATCAGATCTGTGGTGGGGTGATCCAGCTCACAGTGTGAAAGTATGTTTTTCATTCAAGGTATTGTTTCAGCAATAAAACACCTTTAATGCAATAAATACAAGATAAGTTTAATGCCACACAATGGAACATACCAGGCAGAGCAACCTCTCGATGGAGAAAGCAGGTGATAAACCCCCCACCAGAAAAGTTACAAAGTGCATCTTTATTTTTTCTATATTTCAAACCTTTAATTAAGCGATGGCAATACAAACAGTCAGTTTAGTTTCATGAGATGATTGATTAGTTTACAGTTGTGCAACATCAACTTTGAGTAATGACCCAGCGTTGTTGAATATATAATGCTCTTTAATTGGATTTTAATTGACTTTTTCATTAATAATCATTGAATTAATAATGTTTCATACTTGAAGCATTGTAAAGTATTATCAATATTGACCTGACATTTTGACATAACTGAATCGAGAAATACAGATGAACAAAGAGGTTGTATTAATCAAATTCAGTAGTAATTCACAAGTAGTGTTAAAGCTGGACAATTTTGAACATATACTGTATCTAATGGCTACTAATTATAAGTCAGTTTATTTAAAAAATAAAAATATAAAATAAATATTCAGTTCACAGTGCACATTTTAAAACATCCAGGAGTAACAGTTGAGGAAGGACTGAAATATTAACTGCTAAACAACAACAGTCACAGGTAAAATTTATAAATACACTTTTAATAGCCTTAATAAAGTATGAACCTTAATTCATAATGAACTAGAATGATCCAGGCTAAGTAACTAACCTTTTGTGGTTAATTTTACATTTACATTTACATTTTGTTCTAGACTATGTGTTGACTATGTGCTGACTATTATTTACAAGACAATGCAGAAAATATCAAGATACTAATTTCTGTCGATATGGCCCAGCCCTAGTTGAATGTACAAAGCAGGTATACTGGAGGTGTTTAATCTCATCTGACTGGGACTCACTACTGCTCTGGGTTCAGCTGGCCTTTACGTCTCTCAGCGGGACAGTGAATCATGTTTGCTCTTTCACCTGCCCCCCACATCAGTCTGAACCTACCAACCATTTCAACTGTATCACATAACATTAAGATATCTGTCTGCATCTCTCCCGTCTTCCTGGCTGTATCTCAAAATCTTAAGCTAATTAGCGATTACATAGAAACCGCCTCGACCAAAATAACGAGCTCCTCCTCAGATGTAATATTCACCAAATCATGGTCTGGTGCACTCCCGTACGGCTCGTGACAGGATACTTCTGCCTCCTGATACTGTATCTCTCTGTATTTTCACGTCTAAAAACAGTCAGTAAACATGTCGGCTCTGCTTTGATCTGTGGCTCTGTTTGAATAAAGGATCACTCTTCTGGACGCAGCCACTGACTTGTGATGTTTCATTCACTGCTTAATCAATGTGTGTGTGTGTGTGTGTGTGTGTGCATGCACCTAATTCACAGATTACCAAGAGATTTGGTTTCATGTGCAATTTAGTCTTAATAGATTTGTGTTTTTATGCTCTATATAAATATGTTAGTAGCACCCATGTCTTTTAGGTTTATTTTTTATTTTGAAGAACTTCTTTTTGAGAATATTGCAAGCCTAACTTTTCCATTCCAGTCATGGCAGAAATTATCCTAAAACATCACTGATGGCACAACTTTGAAGTACATACATGCACAATTCACGTTCATGCAGACAAGGTACATATGAGGAACCATGCTGATCAACAAAGTAATCGAGTGAAGGTAAAAATACATATATAAATTGTCATTACCAGTGGAAGCTCCTATGGCTCCAATCAGGACGGAGGGCACAGCCATAACTAGACAGCCAAAAGCCGCGAGGAAAGAGAGCACCTGTGCGTATGTGGCTGAAGAGGCTGAAAGAACCCTCTGAAAATACACCTGCCATGGGATCCCCCCTAACATCTGCAAACAGATCACCAGTCAATATACTGCACAGAAGTTATAACCTTAAAGAGCTGGGACCTTATGACATACCAATAAACAGAAGTTGTCAGCCCACAGCCACTTGTCCTCAGGCACAATCTTCCCCAGCCATGGACTTTGGTAGATCACTTCTTTAGCAGTGATACTGATGTCTGACACAGCCGGGTTGGACAAAGCAAAAGGCACGCTGATCCACTATAGGGAAAACAGAATGTGTTCAGTCTTGTATAAGCATCAAGGTATACTTTCATTATCCCCATAGGAAAATTTCTTCTCTACATGCTGCAGTGAAGCACCCAGAACCCATTTCTGAATATTGAGTTAGACATGGTCAAGACTATGAGCTAGAAGTTATTAACCTATACTGTGCTTGTTTTAGGTTGATTGAGGAACCTGAAGTACCAAAAGAAAACACACCCGCACACAAGGAGTAACATGCAAACTTTGCACATAATGACCCCACTCAACCCAAGAACCAAAGTGGTGAGACCAAGGTGCTGGCCACAGTCATTTTTTGATGCTAATGTAGTCAAATATCAACCATGAATGTAAGACCCACTTGTAAGAGGCTGTTAAAAGTACGAGGGGTCTAAAATCAAACACAGTGTTTAAAGTCAGACTAAATACCTAAACTCCACCCACAAGATTGTAGTAGCAAAAAAAGTTAATTTAACCTAAAACTAGGTCCTGGGTTTCATTCAATGATGAGTTTCCCTTGTGTTTTCTCAACCTCTAAGGACTAATCTTCCATCCAGTCTTTGCAATTTCTTTGAAATAATTGCATAACAACAAATAAGGTGCTTTACTTTTCTTAAAAAACAAAAACAAAACAACAACACTTCAATCAGTCTCAAACTCATAGATGTCACATATTTGGCTATAGCTTTTTTATGCCCAGCCTAAAATTTACCAATCCAAGAAAGATGCAGAAGAGCTGGACCACATCCGTATAGGCCACAGAGTAAAGTCCTCCCACCAGAGTGTAGAAGATGGCTATGAGAGCTGAAATTACTACTGACATGTTGATGTTTATGTCTACGATGACACTCAGAGTGGCACCTGCAAACAAGACCAATTATATTTTCCAGATAAGTTAATTAATATATTTCCATTTTAATGATTTCAGTTAACTGAGAACGTACCCAGGGCAGACAAAATGGCGGCTGACCAGAAGATTTCTCCCATGAGCGCTGGGATGAAGAGCAGTCCACCCATCCTCTTCCCGTACAGCAGTTGGAATGGGTCCAGCATGGTGACGTATCCTTGAGAACGCATCGGCTTGGCAAAGAAAAGGCCTCCTGAGTGATGCAAACCATTTAAGTAAGTCAGACAAATGGCCAGTCATTTAATGAATGAATGAATAGGGAGAACTTTATGAGTCACCACAGTAAGCAAGGTACACTACTGCTGTCTGGGTGTATTTGGACAGTTTATTTAAGGTAAAATACATCCTACTTTAAACAGGTATACTACCATTAATACAATTTCTTTGAGTCTCCTTTTCATAATTAAATTGGCCCACTCAAAATAGCATATACCACAGTCAGTAAAGTTGGTTGTACAAGCATGAACAGCAGTACGCAAAATCTATTTATAATTATAATTTGGGCAGTCCACAATAATGCTACATGAAAAAGAATACATTTGGACTTCATGCACTGTGCAATATTCAGCTTTTAATCTCAGCATAGCATTTTTCATGAGTCTAAAGGTATATATATATGTAGGTTTAATTGTCATCAAAGTGAAGTGTTCTTACCCACTACTAGACTGAGAGCGTATCCAAACGGAGCTTGTGCCCAGGCCAGTCCATAGTCGGGCAGATACACATACTCTGCTGTCCCGTTGATGTAGCCCCCACCTACCCATGTGGCTGGAGAGAACAATATGCAGTTTGAATGCAATGTTTAAGAATGCATTGACATTATGCAACAAATTCTATTCAGTTTGTGTGTTGCAAGGATTAAAGTTGATTGATAATACAGTAATATAATTGGTCCATTGCCAATATTCGTCACGTGAGGTGTGTATTTGCACTGTTCTGTATGTCTTACACTTAAGAGTCTTAGGTTTAAAAAAAAAAAAAAAAAAAAAAAAAAAAAAAACTAAAAAGATGTGCCATGGTTGTACGTAAAAAGCATTTCCATACTGTGCGCACCGAAACTTTTGAGAGAAATTTTTGCACAGTTAGCAAAACGACCAAAAACTAGTAAAACACACTCTAAAATGTTAAATGCTAGGTGATGGACGTCAAAAAAACTCACCAGTCATCGTGAATCCGCCAACGAACAGTCCAATGTCCCTTCCTCCGACCATGATTCTCTCGCTGCGGTCTCCATCAGCAGTAACTCCGGAGTTTTTATTCTTCCACGCAGCCCAAATTCCCACAAACAAAATCAAAACGTAAAAAAGCACAATAGCCACGAGACCCTCGATATGAATTGCCATCTTCTTCCTCTGGTCCGCGTAACTCCGCCGAGATCAAGTGCTACTGTGCGCCCTGGACCAGTGTCATGGAGAGCTAAGGGAAAGAGACAGTCGAGTGATTGAGACGAGAGCGCACGGGACAAAAGGCAGAACCAAGACTAATCTTTCTTTAAATGGAGTATTAACATTACTACAATAATAGCCACACCACTTGTCCTAATTACTTATTATCTTACAAAGGCACTGGTAGATTATAAAGCTATTTCAAGGATAAAGAAATAGAAACTGTACTAAAGGGAATTATTTTTAATTAGCTGACTTTACTGATAGTCAAGATGACGAAGATGATTTTCCCTACAGCTCTAAATGACCAAAACCACGAAGAGCTCATTAACTAAAAGAATTGTGGGTTTTACATTGTCTTACAGTGGACCTCATAAAATGAAATTGTTCATTTAGGTTATGTAATCACGTTTGACTGATAATGTGAGCTGAGTATCTAAAATTCAAAGTATCATGTCAGAAATGAAGACTGTTTAGTCAAAGCTATGACGGGTAGAGCCCGTATTAGACTCTACCCAAAGCATGTTTAGTTTGCGCACTGGGCGACATTATAAGTACCAACTAATTGATACTTTTTGGAAACATCCTACTTATAAATCAGTTTTTGTTGCACACGTTGTTCGATTGCGTAAAAGTGAACGTCTCTTTTCCAACCATTACGCACGGTCTAAAATGGCCAAACAGAAACTAAAATCAGTCACAATTTAGTTTCAGTGTGCTTTGATCAAACACGACCTCATCTTGCGTTTCTACTGACTCTGTGGTTCCAGGTATCAGTCCAGTATTGCAATATTGATTCCTCTAAATCAACGCCTGTCTCTGCAGTCAAATGCGGTTACTGAGTCAACGTCTTTTAGTTGAACAGCAGATTGTTAAATTAAAGACAAATGCAATCAGAATGCTTACCTTTTTCTTTATCGGAGCAGGGTCAGCCTAAGAAATCACTCCAGGAAGATTTCAAAGTGCAAAATATGATCTTGTTTAAGTTAAAATGTTAAAACTGGGCAATGTTCCTTTAGGTTGAACGAACCCAGTTGTCCTATGTTGTTTAAAAGTGCGCGTCGAGCGGGGAGCGAACGATGGAGAGAGCGGCGCGTGGAAGAGGAGGGGGTGGAGATGAATGGGAGTGGAGGGTTTATTGGGTGCTGTCAGGGTGGGTACACACGGGATGAATGTCTTCCAGGCCTGGACCAAAATAGCACCTAATAGAGAGTGGCGTGACGCACGGCTTCTCCGCTTCGGGAAAGCTTTCCAATATCAGAATATCATACTGGCAAAACCTTTACTTCCCAGGTTACGTCCAAATACTGATTTACGATCGTGCGCGCGGCTCCAACAAGTTAAGCGTCAGGGTTTTCTGCAGACGTGGGCTCTATAGTCGGAAGTACGACGTAAAGCACCCATATAACAATTTTAAGTGTACATCAATTTACTTTTATGACTATTGCCAATCTGAAACCATTCTTTACAACTTCAAACTCGACTTTCACAATTCTCGCTTACCGTGTGTAATTTCATGGTCCTTTTTACGGGTTCAGAAAAGGTCAGTTCATATTTTTCTACTTCGAAAACTCACTTCACCTTGATCAACAACTGTTATGATGCCTTCGATTCTCCAATTACATCAGCAGCAATACAACCAAGCGCAGTTATTGGAGAGGTTTGGATTGGAGCTGACCATGGTACTGAAACGAAGACTCTTTTAATGCTCAATATTTTCTGATCTGTACATCTTCATTCATGCATTTACAAGTAATCACAATATTTGAATACACTTGGACTCCAAAAAGTTGTATGATTTGACATGGTAATTATCTGAAAAATACTTATTAGTAGTCATAAATGTTTTTGCTTGCTGTAGTAGACCTTCTGTACTAAAAAAACGTTTTTTTCAGCAATCCAGAATTTAAGCAAATTTTAAGTTTCTTAGTTCATTGCTTGAATCGTGACAAGTCCCTTTATTAAGTGCGTGGCTGTCAGAAACGAAGGCAGAGGTTAGCTTTAATTGGAAGAGGTTTCACTAATATACACGGATAAATAAAGCCAAGCTGTCAGCATAACCATAAACGTATAAAGCACACTGCTGTCCAAAATTTTGAAATAGGCTTTAGCGCATAAAACAGACTTCAGAAACTTGTGCTGTGGAAGCAATTAACCTAAACTCCAGAGGTTCTTTGGCTCCATCTAGCGATCTTCTGTTTTTGTGCATCATGTTGTATGAACATAAAATTAAAAATGCATTTTATGTCACCAATTGCATATTTATTATTTCTATGGTTGCATTAACACTGATTTATTATCTTTAAATCAAAATATAGTTCAAATTAGTATCTTAGAAAACATCATGATTAGATTAAGGGGCACTTAACTTTTATAAAGGCAAAATTAATAAATGAAAATTTACGTATCTTCCAAAACACTTTTTTTTTTTTTTTTTTTTTGTGGTGTAGTCTTCTGCAAACAAGTGTACAACTACAAGAGTGTTATATCTTGTATGCACCTACTGTATCTATTACAAGATGTATGACTCCCCCTTGTGGTAACACCTAAAAAACATTTCAGTGAAGATTTAACAGTAAAAATGAATCTCTTGAGGTCCAAGAAAAGTCTAAAGATTCACAAAAAGTTGTGTGTAATGTGGATGACATCAAAATTCTATTAAAAGTTATGATTTTAGTCCAGAATCATAAGATACAAAGACTCCATAGTGTGATATTTAAACATAGTTATTGAGTCTGTATCCATTGCTGGACAGAGAGGTTACAGAAGGAGCCCGGTTGTCTTTGAGAGCCTCTGGGGGGTTGTAAGGTGGAGCAGGAGGGTAGATGTTGTTAAAAGCTGGAGGAGGAGACATGGGTTGACTCCTCTGTGTGTGAAACTCTGGACGTCTGGACCCACTTCTTCTACTGCTGCTCCAACAGATCACCACCCCCCCAACCAAGCTGAGGCATGAAGCAGCATAACCAAGGTATACACACAGACCAATCTCGTATTTAAAGCCAGCAGGGAGGAATGGGTCATAGAACTCCATTACCACATCATTGGTGGTCCATATGACAGTTATCAGGCAGAGGATCCCAGCACAGATGAAGCAGACGCCTCCGCTCAGAGCCAGGGGGGACTTGATGATGGAGCGGTGTGCAAAATAGGTGCACTTCATCCCCAAAACACTAACCACACCAGCCAGTACAGAGGTGACACAAGACAGGACCATAAGAGCTCGGGCTGCCTGCCAAGGGTTAAAAATAGGAGCAGTTAAGAGTTTTTTTTTTGTTTTTTTTTTTACAGCAGTTAGAGTTTTGTTACATATTACCAGAGGTTTAAAAAAAAAAAAAAAAAAAAAGAGGCTGATGTTTTCGTTAGCAGTTATAAATTAAAGGAATGTTTACCGTTCTCAATGTTATTTTGTATTTCTAACATAATATCTATAAATGTTTGAATAATGTTTGAAGAAGTCCTCTGAAAAAAAAACACTTCTTGTTATATTAAAGCTTAATATAACAGAAGGAAGTTGTAAGAAAAAAATCACATTAAGAAAAAAATCACATCTTCTGAACTAGTATTCCTTACATGCCTAGTGGATAGTAGATCCAGGCATAATGCTTTATTCTATACCAAGCAGTTGCAGTTACTAATGATAATGTTATCCATTTTGACTCCAATGACAACTACACAACTACTACCTTTTGACCAGCATTACATTTTTTTCTCTCTACAAATCAAAATTTCTAAAGAAAGAAAAAAAAACTCACATTGGAACAGATGTGTAAATCTGTAAGAGTTTTTACAGTATCTGGTACTTTTATTTATTTTTTAAATCTTTTTGCAATGTTATCTACATACCACTTGGCCAGGCATCCTTGCAAAAAAAATGTATTTGCATATTTCTAACCCGGTTAAATAAGGGTTAATAAATTAATCATGTTGCTCTTCCTCTCACCTGCAGATCCCGGGGCAGAGCCAGCATGGACCTGTAGACCTCACACTGATATATGCCAGTGCTGTGCCACACACACTCCATCCACAGGCCCTTCATGTATGATGTGGCTGTGATGATGTTAGACCCCACATAGGCTGTACTCCTCCAGTGGGGCAGCACTGTGGAGACTACAGTTCCCACAAACCCCAGCATCCCCAGGAAGAAGCCCAGGATCTGTACTGCCATGTTAGCCATGTCTGCGTCACTCACTCCAATATGTCACAACAGAAAGAGAGAAAACAAATTCATATATGAAAAAGATAGTTTTTATGTTTGTTTATTTTTATTTTGAAGTGTTATTTTTTCAACTTCACTAAAAAATGTAAATATTTTTAAGGTAATACTGAAACAGTACCATGAAAGTCTGATAGCTAGGCAGTAGAATCAGAAGCAAAATCAATTTACAGGAATAAGGAAAACTTGTCAAATAAAAATGTGTAAAGATACAGTGACAGTGCATTCCCATATCCGTATCCCTTTAGAAGCCATTGCCATAGACAGGTTGTGCAATCTCCCTGTTATTGCTGCCATGTTGTTACGCGTACAGTAAAATCCAATGAGCTTACATAGAGTCGGTGAGGCATCCTAGTAGTTTCCCTTGAGTTTGCACTGAAATAGCTGAATAAACTTTTAGTATGGTGCCATATGTCTCCCATGAGTGGCAGGTGACTGCATGTGTAACTAATGAGAGCAGTGTTCAGCTCCACCTGTTTAGAATTCCACTCTGGAGTCCTCCCACAAGAACAGAGCCAGGCAGGGAATTAAACATTTACAGAAGGTGCCCAAGCTCACAGCCTTGTTAAAAAATATCTACTGTTTCTTAAGGAAGGTGGTGTTACATATAAGACACTGTGGGTGGAAGTGGTAGTGGGAAGGTAGAAAATTATGTAATATTAAAGTGATTTGATTTCTCAAGATGTCAAATGTCAAATAATTTAAATAGTTGCCTCATTAAAAACAATGGCTTTCAAAGTTAAGTTAATAATTTATTTTTCCAACACTAGGCTTTATAACTGTTAACTTTGCTGAGGCTGAATTTATTGTTTATTGTTTCATGCCACTTACACTGTATTTCATATTTGAGTCATAATCTTACTACATTGTGTCTTATGTAGGTCTGTCATGATAATACATTTTGAAGTACGATACATTGCTATATACTGCTGAAGAAAATATAGACAATAAAGGATAACACTGAAATTAAATTATGCCACTGACTCAATAACCCCAAAGTAATATTATCCCCAGAAAACTATTCTAAATACATAATAGGGTTAAAAAAAAAAAAACTGCACTAAATAAATCCAGTGCACTCACATTTGAACACAGAAATCAAATCTTGTGTGAAACAACAATTCTAAGTAAGCACATCTGTTTGTGTAAATGTGTTCATTTATTATATAATTTAAATGAAATATAAAAACAAACAAGAGTAATTGTTGTGCTCAATTAAAAAAAAAAAACTTACAAAGGCATTTTTTGTAAAGGAAAGCAATTGTTTTCAATGTAAAAAGTGGTATTGTTGGAGCCTTCTCCATCCAACAACTGGCCTTATTGTTGCCACTTAATGATTGACTACATGGACATTACCAGGGAGAGAAAGGAAGGAAAACAAGCTTCCTTTTAATGATAAGGCATTATTGTTGTCGTAAAATGAACTACTGAGCTGAAGAACAGTTTTGTTTAAATACTCACCAATAAGGTTATGGCTGGATTAGTGAGGCATGCTTACAGGTGTCTGGGCAGCACATTAGACCAAAGAGGAGATTGGAGAGGGTCCAAATCAAACTGATACTGGCAAAGATCAGATCCCGTCTGTCTCTGCATCTGTCTGAACAAATAAGCAAAACTTGTGTGTTCAAAGGAGGACAACTCTTGTGAGTGAGTTATATATCATTAACAACTACATAATCTAAATGAGTATTAGGCATAATATGTCAATGAGACAAGGATTGAGGTAGATAAACAGGGGTAACTAAGACTGTTCCAACTACACAAAACAGATATTATATACATTTTAATTATGCTAGCCCATATTTTTATAACTATTTTTAACAGTAAGCTATATTTTAACAAAATGTACAATGTTACATAATGTTTATTTGATAAAGAGTTACTTACTGTGATGCAAGTTATACAAATGTCATGTCCTCTCTGAGCCTGAGGTCCATCTTCTTGCACTCCTCTGCTTGTCTCTCACAACAATAAAAGGTGCATTTTGACACCCATTGGGGCTGGTCCTCCGTCCAAGACGGAATGGGATGATCCGTGTGAACGGGTGCCAGTGGGAGACGCCATTTGCACGAGGAAGGTGTAAGAGTCTTAGTTAAACTGTGTAATCCTGTGATTAGGTGAGCAGTTCACACAGGCAGTTTGGATTACATTGGGTAAACATATAATGGCTTGATTCCCATTATGAATTAAAACTTTACTATTTAGGCAATAGGCTATACAAAGTAGAACTGCAAGATATCAAATAAACTCACTATTCTAAACCACATCAGATTTTGTTAAAATTAAATGATCTCATCCAGTTCAATTTGTGGACCATGACATACTGCCCATATCAAATCTATAACCTCTTTCCATTCATCTTTCAATTTTGTGACAAGATTTTTAAAAACTGGGACACACCTGGGTTGGGGTGATTGGTAATAATAAAGCTGTGAAAAGAGAGCATAATCAATAATGCACTTGGTCCATTCATTCATGTTTTCTATATATCTTGGCTAAACCAAAAAAATACATTCCCCTCTTTACTGTTGGTGGGTATTAAATTGTTAAAAAACAAAACAAAACAAGGAACTCCTGGAACATGTCTTGTATAAAACTGAGACAAATGACTGTCCTGGGTAAATAGGGATGTCATTGTCTAGTCACTGTAGACCAGAGTAGTATTGGTAGTGTCACCTGCTTGTGTGCGTGGGGAGAGATAGAGCCACACAATGAAACATTCCAAGCAAAGCGATAACATCTCCATGACGACAAGAAGGGTGTGGAGCCCTCTACATCTTTAACTCATCTAATCAAATCTAGCCAATTAATTATGATTCTTGAGTTTAAAATTCATGCCTAACTATATGACTTTACAAGGGACACATATAAATAGAAAGCCACTGCATATTCGGATAAAAGATTTTGAGAAAAATAATACAGAATACTCGCTCACATGAAAGACAAGACCGCAGTTTTGCGCGCTGAAGATTCCCCGACAACGCACATCCCGGAAGTCTATGTTCAATATGTACATTTATGTAATTAATTTCTAAAATAAGCTAAATAAACACTTCCATAGTTTTAATCATGCTTTACTACAATATTTTAAAATAATTAAAGATTTCTACTAAAAAAATCATAATTTTGTCTTTCTGATTGAGTTCTTCGTTTTGCCTTTTCGCGCCGCTGAAGTTGACTGATTCCCGGGAAAATACAGCTGTTTTTTTCTGTCTTTATTTAGCATTAAATATTGGTCAGATATCCTTTAATGTCACGTACAGAGTTTGTTTAGTGGAACACGTTCACACATTATTTGATTAGCAAACTAGCAACCAGATAATTATTGGTTAGCACCGTGGACTGTATATACTTTGTAAGTGATGAGTAGCATTTTACATTTATTCCTGGCTAATGTATATCGTATTACCGTCATAATTTGAGGCTTGTCGCAATATTGCCTTGTTTTAAAAGTTCATGATAGTTGTTTTGTGTGTTTAATGTGTTTTTTCAGGAACCGTCATGGTAAAGTTAAAGAGGGCCTCACGTAATTTCGGGAAATCTTGGATGACCCACGGCCCGTACAGGAGGTCCCATGCCGCGGGGAGGAGGATGCAAACACGGAGTCAAGTCACCGTCAACGCCCGGGACAACAACGATAACTTCTTCCAACGCCTCCCGTCAGAAGTACTGTACATTATACTGGAGAAACTGTCTGGTAACTACTAATATGTGTTTAAAACTCCTTTAATAAACAGGCTAAACATCGTAATTTGACAGTTTAACGGGTTAAATCTGCCCAGTGCTAAGACAACTCAAAATAAAATACAAAATAAAAACCTATGTATGCTAATTCTCAATGGGAAACCTGATTTAAAGATTTTGTATTAGTCTTTTGACTAAAAAGTCCACATTTCGTCCCCTTGTAATTTTATCTCGAGTTCCAAAAATATTATGTTGATTAAACTGGCAAATAAACAAATTGATCACTGGTTGGAAGGGACAGTTTTGATTGAGATGAAAAGGACTGGGTTTATGGGGTTTACTAAATCATATTAAATTGATTTCACTTGTGTTTTAGTGCTTGAGTTAAGTGTGTTTGGCATGACATCTAAGGACAACACCAGTTATGTCATGGCCTACATCTCATCTCAAAAGTGGACCAACAAGGAGATCACCCAAAACTTTCATCTCCCAACCTGCCAGGAGAAGAAAGCCAATATCTGCCACTACAGAGAGCTAGGTAAGAACTAATTAGATGTGTGTATCTTATAACTTAAGAGGCATTTTAAATTTTTTCTTTATTTAATTCTTAGGGCTGTTGTTCAAGAGATGCACACTGCTGCTTCCAACAAAGAAGAGGTTGAAGTTCATCTTCAGTAGATTCTCACAGGTCAGGTTATAATACACTAGAGGTGGGCGGCCAAAAAATTATTATTATTTTTTATCAATCTCGATCTTGCTGAAAATGTGAATAATTGCACAACCCTAGAATACACTAAACACTTGTACATTTCCTGTGCCATTATAAAGTGACTATCGATACTCTGTCTCATCTCATTCAGATTCCTTGTTTTATGTTGGAGCATTGCTTTGTTCAAGACTGCCTTGGGTTTGCATGCCTTGGGGGCTTTCTTCAGGTAAAATGAAGCATCCTTTACTATATACAATAACAACAGTGGAAGAAAATAAAAACATGTTTAGTTATTACTAAAAGCAGTCTATACATTACCTGTGATAGAGAAAATACATTACACAATAGATAAGCACATTTCTACTATCTCACTCATTATACTAAGTATAAGACCTGCTACTTTTCAGATTCAGTTTTTGCTTTATTTGTTCTTTATCTAAAAACATTAAGAACTCACTCATATTAACAATTTATTTTTTCAAGAGCTAGATAATATTAACCTTTTAATTTCTCAATTTCTTTCCAGACACTGATCGCGGGATGGGATGAGCTGGAGTGCCACAGGGTATTCAAATTCCTATGTGACCTCACTAACATTCTGTCCAAAACTGAGGCCCTTGTGCACAGCAAACCAGGTGGGACATCATATATACATACACACACCACCTGATCAAAAAAAAAACAAAAAAAAGAAGAAACTCCTCTTGTGTTCCAGGGGTACACTGCTTCCAGGAGGTGAAACTTCACCTCTTTTACCGTAATGTCCTGTTAGATCCCTGGTCAAACCGTCTGGAGTGTCAGTTCTGGTTAATTGAGCTCCTGAAGCCGTGGCCTATGGTCAGTCAGGCCCATCTCCTGCTCCTCCTCTACGGACCACTGCTGCCCGAAGGTCTGTGTCATTAACCAGAGAGAAGTCTGTTGAGTTCTCTTCAGACTAAGATGCGTGGATTTGATTAAAATGCATAAAACACATTAAAAGTTATACTTCCAGTAGTTTTTGAATGTCTGTGTTTTATTAGTTTATTTATTTGGTTAGTTATTTAGCTGTCATCAAACTGACCACTACGCTTCCTGGTGTTCTATTGAATACTTTAATAATAATTTTACATTTGAAATACATATCCCATATTTTAACTACCATTATAATACTCTCAAAATGCTTGAGCCTTTGTTAAAATATCCATATTTTTGTTTTAAAATAGCTTTTGTAGCTAAAAATATCTAATTGTAGAATCTTCAGTGGTGATCCTTATTGATAAATGTTATTGATTGTCCTCTGCTGAAATCAATAAGCAGTGTACTTAACGTAATATTAATTAAAAAGTGATCCCTGTGTGATTGATGTAATAACTGTTTTCTTCAGGTACAGTAGGCTGGCAGGAGCTGGTGGAGACGCCGCTCCCTCACAGTGCTCTGTGGGACTTGGCCCGAGCTCTGCTGCTGCTCTTTAGTAAACTGAAAGTCAGAGGCTGGTCTACATTCTCCATACTGGCCATCCTGGAGGAGCTCACTGGTACTGCCTTTATCATACTGGTTAATGGTTGCAGATATCTGATATACTGTGTATTACACGAAAAATAAAATCACCTTATTCGCCCCTATGGGAAGTAAGTTTTGGTCTACACTGCTGCACAAACCTTCACAAAACCACGATATTTCATCAATTAAATATAAGAAAATGCCTGACCCACATTAAAACCAACACATAGTATTATTAACTTTAATGTGCACCATGTAACCTTTCTGGTTGGGAGCCACTATCTGCTTGTTTCCATGGAGATGTTATTGCTTTAGAATGTTTTATAGTATAGCACTGAAATGATCTATCTTGTGTCAAAACTATTAGGTCTTTATTGTTCATGAATACAAAAACATGCATTCCACTAAGAGCGGTGTTGCCTCTCTATAGATCTGACCTATGACTTGGCGATAAATTTGCTGTTGAACATTCCAGGCGAAATAACATCTGCATGGAAACAAGAAGGTGGGAGGCACCCTCTACCTGAAAAGTGCAGCTTTAAAGATCCTGTATTACACAAAACTGACTTGTGAGCTTTTAGTCATGCTATAATGTTGTCCTCAAAAACATACCTGGAGTTGTGTTTTGTTACATTCACACGTTTTTGTAACCCTTTATTATTATTAGTCTGTTTACTTCTCCAAAGTTCAAAATTCTCTGTTCTACCTGGTGACAGAGATTGGCAATTCCAAGACTGAAATTATCCAATTTCTATTCCAATTCTAGTAAAGGTGTATTTAAAGCACAGTGGAGCACTTCATGTATTATCACATGACATCACAAGGTTTTCTGTTTGAGAGAAGAACTCAGCCTAAATCTGCAGGGTTTGTGTGTCAAACATGTGTGAATGAAACAAAACACAACTCCAGGTATGCTTGTGATGAGGAACCATAATTATAACATAGATCAGAAAGTAGTGTAATATGGGCCTTTTAAATGGTTCGTGTCCTTCTACAGTAATTCCTCAGCCATGGCATGTGGAGAACGTGGCTCGTCTCTTGTTGCTCTGTGGCAGTCACCTCTGCTACGCTTTTCTATCCAGCAAAATTCTCACTGGACGTCTAGAGGAGATCCCAAGGCTCATAGTCTACATAATACTGGTAAGTCAACATGATGACTATATAGAATATTGTTGTCAGGTATGTATAACTAATATTACTTTGGCCATAGGTGTGCGAAAAGGATGGCTATAACATGAACTGGGCTGTGAAGCTGGTGCTGCAGCTCTGCAAAGATTTCAGGACCGATCCAGAAAGGTTCTTCTTTCTCCAAACCCTGGAAAACATGTTCGTAGAGACCACCAGGGACTTCTTTGAGATTTCTATTGGAGGTTAGTTTTCAATTCATTAAAGAAATACTCAGACACCTAAACATTGGCTATGTTTAAATGCACACAAAAAATCATTGGATTTCTGGAGCAATCACATTGAAATGTCATGCAAACAGTTACATTTAATGTGAGTAATCTGACTGAAAAGAACATTTATGCAAAATAATGGCTATCTAATGTGGGAAAAAGAGAGAAAATGTTAAAGATTGAAAGAGTTATTTTAAAATTCATTTTGCGCTATCTTCCAAATATAATTAATAGTTACTCTAAAGATCAATTGATAAACTGACACATGTCAGCGTTTTTGCTTTTGCTCTTCTAATTATTCAGTTTTACGGACCATGCAATATACCATATCATGTTATTGTTTATTGTCTGTGATGCAGGGAACTTTGAAGAGGGCAGAGAGATCTTCCAGACCCTGTACATCCTGCTTGACTCCAGTGCTCGATTTCACGCCAAGTTCCTGCACATGTTCTTCAAAAGACCAGAGATGTGATGACAGACAGCCATGTGAATGTGAATGAGGTTTTATACAAAATCCTGTTGAATGTGCTATCTACTTATTATTTATTGTATTTATTGGCCTTGTTTAATTTCTTCTCAACTTCTGTCTAAAACCTTGTACTGAAAATGCAATAATATACTTTTATAAAATAAACCGTCACTCAGTTTGGTTAAAGAAGTTTTAATTAACATTCTTATTAAAAGCATGTGGCTTCAATAAAAAAGCTGTTTATATAGCAATTTCAGTAATAATGCTGTTGCATAAATATCTGGTCTACATCTGTTAGAAATCACATAGAAATCACATCTACAAATTATGTAAACACAAAGCAAAAGCAATTTATCTAATATGAACATTAAAATATAAGGCCTGTAAAAAAGACAGTCCATGGGTGAAAATATCCAGTGCACTTCATTCATGTGGACACTCAGTTGTTCATATGTTCATTGTTTTGATATGACCTGGAAAAACAAACTAGAAATTAGATTCTTATGTAAAATGTACTCACTCATTGGGGTACTAAGGCAGTAAACAACATTGGGGATGAAAAAGGCTTGGCTTGAAAGAGATTCAAGTCAGGTGGATATGTGTGAAATGATGGGGTCAAAGTGTGTGCTTATGTGCAGGCAATAAGTCTTAATACTATTCTTTAGCACAAAACTGATGACTTTTTATAGGAGCACTAACTCCTGGTCTGGGATACAACTCCAATGAAATAATATTGCTTTGTGTGCTGCAGCTGTACGGTATTTTAACATTTGGCATTATTTAACTTAAATTCCAGGCAAATTAATAGCATCTCTGTTGAGGCAAGCAGGCAGCATACCCATACCCACCAGAAAAATGTCACATAGTACAACTTTAATAATTAATGAAAATATGTTATTCATATATTAATTATATCGGACACAGGGGTTAGCAATAAATTAGAGTAATTAAATAAAAATGGTGAGGAAACCACAGAAGAGTTTAGAACCGACCAAACGGTGTAGTTGTAATTTTGAACATGTACCACAAGATGGCAACAAAACACCCACATACTAGTACTATACAGTCTATCAAAGGTACACAGAACACAGATGGAAAACAAAATCAAGTCATGCCAAATCACACTTAATACTTACAGTGAAATTTGTTCTGTGGACAAAAATATAACTCATTACTGGTAGTAGACATAATTGCAACTATATCTACTCCTTCAACTGACAGATAAACTTTAAGCATATAATTAGATGTCTGTACCTTGAAGCCAGTCAAGTCCTTCCTGGAGGCCCTCTCCTTTAATAGCGTTGCTGGCACTGAAAGAGGCACGAGACGTTAATCTGTGGTACACGATAGCCCTCACTCACTTTCTCAGACTTTTCCTGGATCTCAAAGTTAAACCTGAGCACCTCTAATCCATCTGCACTCCATCTGGCTAATGAGCAAACTGGGAGGAAAACACTTACAAATCCACTTGCTGTAAGAAATAACTTCCTCTTGGTGTTTATCAAAGTTTAACCAAACTGAGACAACTACAGTTTGCCTTGTGAACATGTCAACACTTCAAACTCTCGTTTGTTGATTCACTTTTTATTACACTCTAGCTCTCCTCTTTTCTATCAGTACCATGTCTGGAAAAATGGACAAGTAAAAGTAAAGCTGATAATTAAAAGGTGATGATTCTGGTTGGTAGTGGCTCAAAGTGTTTTATAATAGCAGGCTGTATATAATCTCTGTGTATTTGATTTTTTTATGGATCTTTTACCTATGAATATCAAAATTTGAATCTGACTCTTGGTATTTAGTTAATCATTGTTCAAAACCACATTGTAACATTTTTCTACAAGTTATAAAAAACACTGAAAACTAAAACATATGTACAAATATAAATCACAGTGAAGTTGCCTGATGCACGCAATTTAATTATTACATATAAAAAGTTCTCACCATTCTATCATCTAATTGAATAAGGCATAAAAAGGCATAAAAAAGTGGTACTAGCCAGACATTTTAACTGGCTGGTACCACAGCAGGAGATCAACCATCGTAATGCCTTAGTGACACCTGCTTTTCCATTGTGATCCCTGTAATCTCTTTGTTTGGTGTAGTGAGAAAAGTGGTATTAGATCAGATGGTACTCTACCAGATGTGCCATGGCTTGTCCTGGATACTCTCCAAAGACAGTGCTTGCGTGATCTTATTGGACGACATTGCATCCTGCAGGTCCATCTTGTTGGCGAAGAATAACACAGGGATCTTCTTGTTGCAAATGTCTGGAAACAAAAGCCAAAGTCAAATTTAGTGTCAAATATCACCAAAATTCAACTGTAATATACATTTTTATACAAATTTGACAACTACACTAATTTGGATGGTGCTTGAACAAATTTGACCTTGAATTTGATCTTGACTTGAACAAATTTCCTCACATTTTGAATCTTGTAATGGTGCACTGTCCATGCCTTTCTCAATGGAAATATTACAGTTTCTCTTAGTATGTTCCTCAGTATGGCATTTAATGAGTCTATTTTGGAATTACAGATGTTTCTATTGCTTGCACCTTAAAAATATGTGTTTTTGCTGTGAACTGAGTTGCCTATTATCTAATCTCAGTACTTTGCCATGGTTGGCATCACCTACTTGTCTCCATGGAGAAAGACAAGATTACTGATAGTGTAGGACATTCACGGCAACACAATAAGATCCACCTCCAGAAAAGTAACATAGAGCACCTTTAAGTAGAAATACATGATGCATTTTTCTTATGTACAGTCATTATGTGGCTCAATATAAAGCCTTTACCCCTAAGATGTTATTTGTAGATTCTATGTTTAGCATTTTAGATAGGGCCAAAGTAATTTGTTATTACCTTCATGCTTCAGAAGAGTGTCCAGTTCTTCTTTGACAACCACCATTCGCAATTTGTCTCCACTATCAATCACAAAGATGATGGCATGGCTATCCCTGTTGAGAACATAAAAAATAGCTTCACAACATTATAATAAAACAATATATTTATTATAATGTTGTGAAGCTATTTTTCAAGTATAATGAAGAGTTAAGGGTGTCTTACTTGTAATAGTGTTCCCATAAGTTTCTGTATTTTCCTTGGCCTGACATATCGAACACAGTAAAAGAAAGGCTATGCACAGATAATAAAAATCTATTTAAAATTACTTCTTATTTACATACAAAGATACATCACATAGTTGTTTCATATACCTTGAGGTCTTGAACTTCTCAATGTTGAAGCCAATGGTTGGGACGATATCTTGAGCCTGTGTCTACGTGTACAACCACACACACCAAAACACACAGAAAGAGACAAGTAATGGCAGATATGTCAACTAGAACTTGCTATGAGGTAAGCGAGAGGGCTTTACCTGACTAACATGCTTCCACTCCGCTGATAATGGCCCTAAATGATTTGAATGCTGAAAATAAGCAGTAAGTGGGGCATTCACATCACATAATTTAAAGGTGCACTATGTAACTTTTCATGTGCAGGGCCGTCTGCAGCCTCTTGTCTCAAAGGAGATGCTATTGCTTGACCAGGTATATTCCACAGCTTGACATGTAAAATATTTGTAATCTATTAAATTACAGGGGTTCTGTCCTGTAACCTCCCCTGGTGGTGTATCCTGCTTGATGTCGTTGATAGAGATAGATAAGTTAAATGCTATGCTATGAAACATTGCAGGCAAAGCATAACATCTCCATGGAGACAAGCAGAGACACTACAACAGAAAAGTTACATAGAAAAATATTTTGCAGGCTTTTTATATATTACCCTAATCAGTGACTGGTCTATCACAACTGACCCCTTGATTACTACATGTGAGATACAATGTTGATGTAAAAACAATAATATGTTTTCAGTACTTACATTTGCAGGTTTAAGTTGGTTTATTATTGTAGTTTTCCCACTATTGTCCAGTCCCAGGCACAAAACATTGACCTCTTTCTTCCTAAGACCGAGCCAGCCTGAAAGTTTATCTAGCAACCCCATTATTATAGGCACTATGACCTACACACCACTCAAATACAAGAGTACATCACCCCATAGAGGCCTGTCTAATCGTAAGCGATTACTCTACATTTGAAATATCTCGTAAAAGCTACTAATAGTCCTCTCGTGCATTCATACAGGCTAAGATGCTGCCAACACTGTCCCGGCTTGTGGGGGGTAATCCTATTACGGGAATTAAGCTGGAGCACCTGGTGACCTGAGAGCCTTCATCTCTATTGGACACCCCTGTACTCACTGTTTAGTTCAGTGAGGTCATAAATTTATTTGTTGTGTTATTTCTTATGATTCTAGTCACAGTCATTTGTAATTGTGTTCCATCAAATGACTGATATTGCCAAATTCAGTTTTTTATCTAGGCTAGTACACTATGTACAGTTATACCATGGTGTTTGAGCTTTCTAATGCTAACTGAAAACCATAGTAACCAATGAAGACCATAACTGCACCAACTTCAACTTTATGTATACAGGTCTATGTAGCAAAAAACATCTAAAACTTTATGTGCAACTTTACCCATGTTCAAGACTTTCCAATGTGCGGCTGATACAATTTTAATCAACAAATAAATTTCACAGAAAGTTATCAATCTTTAACTGTACTAAACTAAGCTTTACTAGAGTATAGAGTTAACTTGCAAGTCTTCTGAAAGTTCAGATGCACTGTAATTTGTGAAAATGGTTTGGCATGGCAGTCCTATTGCATGTCACTATTGGACACTATTGGACTGGCAAAGCCGCCCCAGCTGTTAGTGTTGGTAAACAACACAGGAGCTCAGAGACTGTGGACATTTGGAGTCACTCTCTCGTGTCACACTGCCTTTTACACATAATTCAGACCATCTGTGGCTCTCTACTGTGGAGTGTGTACAAGTTATTAAAACACAACACTGGGTAAATGACAAATGTCATGGTAACATCACACAAATGTCATGACATTTGAATAGTAAATCAGAGAGAGAATGAAGGAGTGCAATCTGATATTGTACAAGACAGATGCTGAGCAAAAATCGCAAACATTTCTCAACATTATAAATGTATTATTGTTTATAGGTCAAACAGCTCCATCAAGTGGTTACAATTTGTACAGTTTTGCCCCAAATAATTTTTTTTAAATTGACGTGACAATTGTCTTTGTTAATGCTGGTTTGTAACCAAAACAAATTAGTCTGAACAATGTTAGTTGTTTCATTTGGATTGTGTGAATGTGTACTTCTGTCTAACAAAAAATAATGACTACTGCTTCACTGCCATAAAAAAGTATCATGAATTATGGGTAAAGCAATCCTATCACATCTGGTAGAGTGCAATTATGCCGCTTTTGCCCATATTGTTGTTTTCCCATCATCATTTTGCAAAATAAAACTCAAACCCAAATGCAATAAGCAGTCAACCACCAGAACTGTTCATCTTTATTTGCAAATAAATAGTCGCTGTAACTGCCTCTTACAGTGTGCAAGATCTACAACATCTCTTTGGAAATCATAGAAAAATAAAATACAAGAGTTTTAACTTGTACCTGGTACAAAAGAACGTCCTAACATTGCTCAGCAGTAGAACATGCTAAACAAACAGCATCTGATATTCTCCTTATTTCTGTAGCAGGTCTGTGAGTGTGTGCATGTGTGACGGGCCCCCCTCCTGTACATGAATACAATACTATGTGAAGGTCTTAGGCAGGTATTAGAAGCAACACAAATATGTTGATGTAAAGGAACAATGTTGAACTAGAAGCACTTGGACATTTGGAGAGTACCTCTGCTAAGGCGCTGGTAATGTTTTGCAATTGTAAAGATATAGTGCCCTCACCTGGACTGAAAAAAAAAAAAAACATTCTATAACCTGCAGTCAAATCCCTCAGCAGTCTACTAAAATGTATTATTTGTTATACTTGTCATGAAATTAGACTTTAAATAGATAATATATTATGCCATGTTTTTCAATCTATATTTTATTTTAAAGAATATATTTGAGTAGATAAATAAAAAAAACATCAACTTATCTATCCAATAACTAATAACTATACAAAATGAATCTCTTTCCCTTAAACCATAATCAACTCTGTGACAGGAAGGCACAGATCCAGATAAAATTCATCGCTGTACATCATGACAGTTATGCAGAGATAATGATAACGTGAAACAAAATATAAAGAACATAATGTCTAGGTCCGTGGATCTTAGTGTATCCTTCTATAACCACTGTAAGGCATTCTGTGTGTCCATGGGAGAACTAGTACTAAAACTATTGACTGATTAAGATGCTGCTTTATATTCAATATCTTTCTCTGATGACCTGGCCTCTAAACTACCACTACTTTAAATACCCAACCATCATATATAAATAACTTCTGAAGCCTTTACCTTTTCTAAATATGATAAACTCTATGCAACACTGCCAATTCACTGGTAAGATAGCAAACATTTCAAAACCAAGCTTCCTCCTATATCTGCTTATGTACATATATTTGCCACATTGCTACTAGCATAACCATAATTATAGCATCATCCAGTTCAAATCAGGTCTTGACTGGTGTGCCAAGTGGAGTGTTATAGGCGAAAATAAGTAAGTTGGAAAGTGAGTTCCTACTAGCACCGAACAACAAGTCTATGTATTATTCAGTATTTAGAACAGTTTATGAACATTCATTTAAGACAGTGGGGAGTGTACTTCCAGGCAATATTGACATTCAAAAGCAGGATTGTGGATTAGAAGTATATGGTTCCTTTGAAGGCAACTGATCAAACTTTGCGAAGTTGTCTGGTGAATGGTTTCTGTGGTGTATATGTGTTAACATTTCCCATTGCACTTTTTCTAATCTCTTTCTGAGAACTGAGACTGTATATTGCTGTATTGCTGATTTTGATAGAAAATAAATCAATTATAATATCCAAATTCACTAGGGCTTTTTCACATACAAGACTGCACATTAATAGATATAAGTTTATGATAACAATTAATCGATTAGTTGTCTATACACTTTTGAAACATTCAATAAAGTTCTTCTCATACTTTGCTCTCTATGTCTTCAAGTATTAGCCTACCAGATTCACTGGAGAGAATGGATAAATAAGCAAATTTCATAATAAATAATTTAAAATAAAGACGTCTCAAATTGCACACCCGATAGCAGCTACATGAGCACATAAGTCAACAAAAAGTCAAGATTGAGTAGATTATGTTTGCAAATCTACTTGGCTAGGTTACATTCCCCTATAAGTGCGGACCAGGCCAGTCTTTAGTCCTTACAGTCTAGCCCAATGTCAGATGAGCTGGAGAGTAGAAAAACCTATGGTACTACGAAGGTGTCCCAACCAGGAGCAAAGTCCACTGTGCCAGTTTGTCCATGTTAAACAAAGTGTTTGGACATTTTGGGCACAGGCTTTGTTCTAGACTTCACTCCCCTCTATGCACCCGTCCCAGGTGGGATCATATGTGGGGTCGTATGAGGAGTCAAAGTTTGTCCTCATACATGGAACCCCTTGTCGTGTTCGTGCAGCAGTTGGAGGTGTAGAGTCTGAGCACTGCTGATGATTCGTCGCTGGTGTCCAATCAGCTCCACCCCCACACGCCTCACATCTCTAGGCCCAGAGCAGGAGACAGACACACACAGAACAACAGACACTTTAGGGCCTCTTATGATACAGACAGATGTAATTGATGTAAGTGTAATTTATCTTTTTGAGTATCAACAATGATGGGCCCAAAATAGGGCCCTAGGATTCTCCTACAGTCTGTGATTGCTGACAGCAAATATGCTGATTACCCTTCATGCAATTTAATATTTAAAATTTTGTTTACATTTTTGTATAATAACGTAAACTACTGTAATCCTTATTGCATAATTTATAAGTAAATTATTACATTTACATTATTAGATACTAGTAATTATATATTTATATAATCTGTACATGTGACATGCATTTCATAGACCTTGATTTCAGATTTAGTTTTGGGACCTGTCTATCTATCAATGAGGGACGCAACAATACAGTTTTGACACAATTCAATATTTGTCGTGATATATAGGCCATGATATCAATATGATGCACAAAAATGAATGTTTCCTCTATTTAGCTATCTATCTAGTTTCTTCTGTAACTGTCTTTATTACTCACTCAATGCTCATCCTGGCCACAGCGTCCAGAGTGTTGTATCCTGCTGCCATAAAGTTACTTTTGTATTGCGACATCTTGATGGAGTCCAGCCACTCGCCCACAGAGATAAACATGGGGTAGTCCATCTCTTCACTCGGACATGGGGACTCTGGAAGACTGAGGGGTTACAGACCGGCGTTAGGGCTCTGTCTTAAATTACATAAAGCTATAAAAGCAGAATCTGTATAATAGGATCCAGTTTTATAAGCCGGAGTAAAAGACTTGATTAACTTTATTAACTCCCCTCACAAGGAAGAGGAGTGCTACGCTCTGACAAATGGGGGCAAGATCATCTTAACTGTATTAAGTGTAATGGCAATGTGATTTTGCAAACAAGAGAGTTTGTCACAGAAGGAATATGAAAGGAAAAAGTAGACCATTTTAATGAGTGAAGGGAAGATAGATTATTCCTGTTTAAGTTGTACAGTTAAGTTATACAATAAAGCATAATAAACAATTTATCATAAAATAGTACTGTGAAATTCTTCAAATTAACATACTCAAAAAAATTATTTACTGAGTATGTGCATTCTTGCACAAGTATAAGGTGTTCCCTATTCTAAATGTTATTGTAGCTTTATACGAAAACCATATATTATAGTATGTACACATAAAATGTGTAATACACTGCAACATTTATAGCTAGTGCTAATTTGCAATGTCTGACCTCTTTAGAAGGGCTTTTACAAACAAAATTCACATTTATATAAGTTTAACATTATACAAAGGCAGAACATGTCATTATGCATTACTGTACCTTTGAATATCCTCTACCAGTGGCAGGAGGCTGCTGGGATTGCGAATGAGTTTATCCAAAAATGTTACGATGTCGACAAATTTGGGCCGATGACTCCTCTCCTTCTGCCAGCAGTGCAGCATGAGCTGGTGCAGAGCCACAGGGCAGCCCAGGGGCGCCGGCAGTCTGTAGCCCTCTTCAATGGACAGAATCACCTAGAGACACAGCACAGACCAGAGACGAGTGTGATTGCATGGGAAGCTGATGAGGAAAGAGGGTTTTATGTAAAGCAAGTGACAAGTTTTGAAAGTTGAACCGAAGGTCTTCCAAGGCTACAAGGCTGGATATCTGGGATACTGTTTTTCAGAGCACTGATTGTTGAACTTTTCACCTCAGAAAAACTTTGGCATTTTACTGAGTCCAAATCATTACTAAACATTCATCAATTCAAGACTAAAACAGGTATGAACTCTGTCTATTATAAAATAAAATTATAGGTATAGGCAAAAAGGACAAAAGAGAAAAAGCCCAATGGCTGGTGGTTCAGATATCCTTAATTCATAAAACTACTTCTACCTTCCTGCAGTATTCATTTGTTTGTGCAGTTGTGTAATGGAGGATTCTTGAGAGGCTGCAGGCTCAAAACTGACACCTAAAATGTAAAGTTTCAATCAGGACAACTGTAAATCAGGACTAAATCAGGTCAGTATTAAATTGAGATTCAACAAGGACTAAATCAGTAGTAAACCAGGTTTAAAACCAATTCTTAATCAGGACTAAATCAGAACGTACCAATGCTCTAATCATTTCTAACTTACTTAGAAAGTTTCAGTGATACATGAGTGCATGATAAAGAGTGCAGCACTTGATATCAGCTACTCCTCTGGCTCTCATGGATGAAAAGACCAGACTTTTTATATAAATCATTGCCCAGCAGCCTTAGCCTCTCCCTTTATCTCTCCTTTTTTATGTATTATTGTATGCTTTAGTAGATAGTCCGCACCATGTATCTCACTGGAGTCCTGTGATCGGTGGCCGACCAAGGAAGAGATAGTGTAACTGGTGACACAGTGAAGCTTGGCAGACATTTTTCGCCTTGGAAAGCACTTCTAAGCAATTCCCAAACAGAATAAATCCATGCCCAAATCCCACAGACCTTAGTGGAAATGTGTGTATGTGTGTGCTGGATTACAGAGGAGATTTCAGACTCAGTGGAGAAAAGGATGGCTCTGCTTCCTCTATAGGCCTGGTCCAATCCATGTCCACAAGTCCAGGATGAAGGGGTCACTAAGCTGAGCCAAACCCACAGATTTAAACCCTCACTGGATGGACAAGTGCTCAGAACCACTGACCTTTATGGTGCAATTCTTCTTCTTCTTTTTATCCATATTGTAGCAGTGTTGCTGTCCTATATCCCACAGCAGCTAAAGGCATTTCTTTGGTACAAGTTGTGCAAAAGGGCAAACAGTTTTAACCATTATCATACAGTGTGTTGTTGCATTTAATTAGATGATTGTCAAACTTTGTATCACAACTTGTACCACTTGAAAAAAGATCTCCCAAAGCTTTCCAAATACTAAATAAATTAAGTAATCCATGATGTAAACTTAATCAGGTCTTAACTGTAGCCACAGAAAAATCATTTAACATGCATTATAATTGGTGAGAAGAGACATTGTTGATTGAACACTTTAAGACTGGATGTTGAAATCCCAATGAAAAGCTGGACATAATCCACTGCCTGCAATGCAGCATTAGAAGAGAAATTGTTATCATTTTAAATTGAATTGCAGCATACTATAGTGATGCTTTCAATGACCATACAGATAGAATTAGAGAAGACTTCAATAAAACCCCCGGAATCGAAAAATGTAAGTACCTTTATGATTTTGCAACATCAAACATTTAATTTCACATGATTACAACCTTCAGAGAAAACAATCAGAAACATTTGACTACAGTGAAAATACTCACATCCTGATTAGACATCTCCCAATATGGCCGCTCCCCATATGACATCACTTCCCACATGACAATGCCATAGCTCCACGTGTCGCTGGCTGACGAGAACTTTCTGTATGCAATTGCCTCTGGAGCTGTCCACCGGATTGGGATCTTTCCTCCCTGTAACACAAATTAATTATTGAGAATATGAAAAAAATCTTTTACTATTCTGGATGCATGTAAAGTAGACAGTAAAAAAAACAAACAAACAACACTATAAGGTCCAATTTGCGGGTTGTGACTCAGGCATGGGCTGCAAAAAATGATGGTGATGATACTAACATACTTTTGTAGCCACAGCCGCCCTGGGAAGCAAGGCTGCCAAACTGCACCATCTGCCTCACTACGAATCACTCACTCATTCACTCACACACACACATACACACACATATACACACATATACACACACCTGCACACACCACATTCACACTAAGCAAGGTGGGTGAAGTGTTTTGCCTAAGGACACAACAACAATACCAGACTACTAGAGCTACTACTGACCCAGTGTCATCTGGTATGCCCACAGCTGTCTCCCATCCCAGAACTAACCAGGTCAAACCCTGCTAAGCTTCCAAGATCAGACTAGATTGGACATTGTTAATTACAAAGCCTATTCTACAAAAACAGATGCCATATACTGTGACTATTAAAACTGCTCTTCTTATGAAAGTTGTTAATAATGACAACACATTGGACCAGTTTAAACAGTTTATCCTAAAAAATTTAGAGCTGTACCATAGAAGAAATAGTACACCGCATCTGCACCACAAGCACTAAGCAACTATGACAAAAATAATGATAAATGCTAACACTAGAAATTTAGTAATGATGTAAAATAAAAAGGATGGTATGGACACCTATGATTAATCCCTGACAGCTGCTGGAGCAAAACTTAAGTAGTTTCAGTCTCTGTATTTTCTTCAACATTTTCAGACTTTTCTGCTAATGAGGATTTGTCACTGCGCCATGAGCAGTTATCCATCTGGCAGTACACATGACTTTAGTACATCTTAACATTTGAAAGCTAAGATGTTTTTATTGCATGGTTCATCAGTTTTTATCATGCATCTAGGTATTTTTTCAGTGTATAAGAGAAATGTATAAGCAATTAAGAAAAAAATATTTAGGCATCAAATTCCACAATGAGCATTGAAAAATATTTGTGCAATTTGTGCATGAAGCTTCTTAAATTGTCGGATCATTGCTGACAAATTTGTCTAGTCACATCTGTTGCCCCAATTAGCTACATGGTTTATTTTGGCTGTTTAGAAAAGAACGTAGGGACAAGGTCTACTAGGAGCGGACAATTTCCGTGGAGCTCAGATAATTGGCTACAAGAAGCTCACTCGATGAAGATGATAAACTTATAACCTGTTGTAAAAGTCTTTAATTATGTTATAATGGTTCACCCTCATCATGAATTTTTTAAAAATCATCATTTAGCCTAACTAAGTATTGTATTTTGATTGATTCATGCATGTTTGAATAATGAAGTATTAGGATTAGTAGTATAAAGTCCTGCATTTGAGGCTTGTGTGCTCAGGAAATGTTTGCTTTCACCTACCCCCTATCTCTGCTGACTACATAAAAAAAAATCTGATTTTCAGTCATAAACGTTCAAAAATATAAACAGTGTAAAAGAAACTGTGTTGCTTTCTACAGTGCAATGCTATTATGAAGAAATACGGCCAGCTGCAGAGAACCAGTTACACAGTTTTGTGGAGCCATTTCCAAATGTTAAGTTGTTTCAGAACAATATTGCAGGTTACAATGAACAAAACAGTTATTGCTAAATACCAGGAAAAGCATTTGTCTTTTTAACATTACTATAATATTTACCGTAGTGGTGTAGGCTGCCTCGGGGTCATCCTCTAAGACTCTGGACAGGCCGAAGTCGGACACTTTACACACCAGGTTACTGTTGACCAGAATGTTTCGAGCAGCCAGGTCTCTGTGCACATAGCCCATGTCCGACAGGTACTTCATCCCTGAGGCGATCCCACGCAGCATGCCCACCAGCTGGATCACCGTGAAGTGACCATCGTGTTGCTGTCAGAGGGAGAAAATTGAACTGTCAAACTACAAACTATGGATAATCCACACACAGGACAAAGTAGAGATAAAATTACAGACAGAGGTATATGAAAATGTAAAGTAATGAAAATGTTATTTCAGGTTTTGTGTTTCAATATCTATTTTGCTATTTTGAACTTGTGTGTGTATGTGTGTGTACAAGACGTGAGTGCTTCACTGGAACAAACTGTGTTGGAAAAGTATATAAGTATATTTGAAAACCCATTTTTAGTGTTAGTGACTGACCAGGATTTGAATATCTAGATAGTAATGTTTCAAAAGTGCTACTAACTACACATTTGTTTCTTTTTGTAAACTGCATGTACCAAAAATGTGTTCTGAAATTCATCTTCACTTTTGTCAATGACTGTTACTAGGGGGCAGCCTGAAGATTAGTATGCAGGATTTTAAATCTCCTTCTGTTCTTTTTGTCTATGATAACTGTGATAACACACAAAATTATATAGAGAAGAGGTCATAATAATATCTGCTAACACTTTATAACAACTACACTCAATTAGCCTTAATAAAGCATGAAGGAAGACTTAATTTATAATGCACAAATATCTTATTAAGAACGCTTCAGGGTTAGTAACTCTTTAACTAATGCCTAACCCTAATCTGTACTTTCTTAATGCTTTATTGCGGCTAATTAACGTGTACTTATTATAATAAAGTGTAACATCATTTTGTCAGTGCAGTTCATTTATATACTTATATACTGGGGCACAGTTCCTTGGATCACTCACCCTTAGAAAAGAGTCCAGTGAGCCGTTCTCCATGTACTCCACCACTATCATCACAGGACGGCCTGTAACACATAACATGACCGATCACCTTCTATACATATCAAAGACAAATCCAGGAGAGAAGCATCTGAACCCTGAGCACACATAAGAGGATGTATTCTCCTCGCAAACAGGGCTCTATGTGATGTCTTCCAGGGTTTATCCATTGATTAGTGCTGCTTGTTGATGAGTGTTTGCATGTGTTCGCACTAAAGCCCATTAAACACCAGTGACCTACAGCTCAGGTGAAGAGCACTTAGGGACAAGATGTTGTCCTTATATGTACTATTACAAATTTGCACATACCACCCACATATTTTTAAAGATGCACTATGCAACTTTTCTGGTGAAGGGTAAGCTATCTGTTTATCTTCATATATAAGATATGAATGGACATAGTTAATGTGTTAGCTCTTGTAGTTTCTATGATACTCGTGGTCGGGTTTCCAAATATGGAGACAAAATGTGCACCTGTAACTGTTAACATCGGGAGCTTCATTTGAGTGGCGCCAAATGCTATGGGTGACGCCACACTTGTTTAGTCCAACTTTTATACAGTCTATGGTTCATAGATCAGTTATTGCTTTGCCTGGAATATTCCACAGTAAGACATTCTAAACACATCTTGCAATTATTCAATAACAAATATTTTTATTGTTTAAAAAAACAATTACTCTGAGTGGGCACAACTTTCCACAGTTCTGGCAAGACACTTGGCCTAATAACATCACCTGCTTATCTTCATGGAGATAGACGCGTTTACGGCCTGTGCAGCATTACAGGCAAAACTAAAAATAACATTTCCGTGGAAACAAGCAGATGGTCAGCACCTTTAAAGTTAGTTTAACTGCTTATTTCATTTATTTTTTTAGTTTGTATATGATGTCCTTCATGTTCAGATTACTTTATTTGTACCTGTTGGTAGAATGTGTTTCCATAAATTAGTACTATTAGAGCATTCTCCACAGGGCTGAAAAAAAACAAAAACAAAAACAAAAAAAACAAACAAACTGCAAATTGTCAAAAACTTGAACATAACCTCTATCAAATATGATGTATTGTATCGCAAAAATACTGGAAATGCAAAGAACCACAAAAAGCTCTTCTCATCTCAATAAATCCAGAAGTTGTTTATTGAGTATTGCAAGAATTAACATTTTGAACAGGTGCATTCAGTTTTATTCAGAAACCCTGAGCCTCCATGTTGTGTTTGTGAAAGAGCGTGCTGTAAAACCCACTGCTTCAGACAGTAATAAAGACTTATTGTGGCAATAATGTGTGATTGTGCCTTCAACATGAAAATAGACCTATGGCTTTTGTTGAATATTGTTGGTGTTGCATAAATAAAAATAGTTTTATAAATATGAATACATAGTTTAATAGCATATCTACCTACCCCCTTCTGGCTTCTGGGGAAATTAAGGACTTATAAAATGAGAAATGTGGAAGTGACTTGAGCATGTGATGACACTCCAAATGAGGGACTTTTATGGCATACTTAAAACACAGCTGTTCTCTCTACACCTCTGCATAAAGATGTTTTCTTTTGCAATTATTGTCATCATTGCAGTTTGTTCAGTAAATTAGCTTTGGACCTAACTAAAATGAACAATGTATAATGTAGAGTAACATTTACTACAACAAAATTTCAAGTCTTTTCTTTAACTTTTTACAATATTGGCTGAAAGATCTCTGGCTGGTGATGATGCCCAAAATAGGTCTAATAAGATCAGCCTTTGCACCTACCAGTTGAGAATTATATTTTACTAGTTAGTAGTAGATAGTAAATAGCAGTATATTAGGCCTGCCATTGATCATGTCTTAAATGAACATATCATGCATCACGGTGGCTTTAATTGGCATTCAACATGCTTTGGTATTAGTCTTTCACATTTTCTAACTTAAAAGACTCAAATTTGGAAAATACACTAAAAATGACAACTCCCTTTCCTGTGTGAAGTTTAGGCCCTCTGTTGTCAGCAGTGAGAATGGACACTGAATAAATGCATTTGTGAGCAGTCAGAGAAGATGACCTTGTAAACAGGAGGCATTCTTTTGATGAGTCAACAACAACATTGTTAAAAGCTCAAAAAAGTAGAACTTATGTATTATGCATGTTACTATGTTTTATTACAATTATTGCAGTTCTAGAGTCCAAACTAGAGCCATTTACATGTTGATTTGGCATGTTATATGTGCTAATCTCATTATAACGCTTCAAATGACCTAGCTGCAATTGATGGGAATTAATTTGTCCAAGCTACACCTATGAGAGAATTGCCATGGTCCAGGAACAATATCTAGTTATGCAGTGCAGCGCTTGAACGAAAACAAACGCACCTGTTTACCTGCGCCTAATGTGTCACCTGCTATTAGATCACAGGTATGGAAGTCAGTCACAGCACAATACGCTCCATAATTAGTCTCCCAAGAACAACAACAGATGTGAGTGCCGACGGGAGAGAGAGAGTTAGGGAGGAAGAGAGAGGGAGATGGAGAATGGAAGAAATGAGAAAGAGAGAAAAGCAAAGAAGAGAGATAGAGAAAGAGAGCGACAGAAGAAGAAAAAAGGGAGAGCTAGATTGAGAGAGGGAAAACAAACAAGATACTCCACTACAGTGAAATAATTTCATGTTGATATTATATTTATTATATTTTCTGGATTTCTTACACACCTGCTATGGAAACTTTGGTCATTAAAAGTGGCAGAGGCGTTTCTCGTAGGCCTGTAAGGACGTAATCAAAACAACTTGTACAAGAGCGAAAAAATACATAGTTTTTGGCATCTTTACTACCTATAATTTGCACACAAAACGGGTAGATATGTCAGTATCATATTTACCAACTCTGTCATATAACTTTCATCAATACCTATTAACATGCATCTCATCTTGACCTCCATTTCATGCATAAATCAGTTTGGAAACACATTATTGAATTGGTCATTACATTTACCATTAGACTTGACAAGGCAACCTGGGTTTAACCTATTGCTGCTGAAGGCCTGTTTTTGAAGGTGGTAATTCAGTAACGAGACTCTAGGTTTTTGAAAAGCCTTCTTGAGTTGTCTGCAGGTCACAGCTGAAGAGTGTCCTCTATCTCTACACAAGTCTACGGGGGACACATTGAAATTCACTGTCACGTCCTGCTTGATACTGGTGCTGTAAAAACAACCATATGTTGCACTAGGTGAGGCCCGTAAAACAGCACTCGTTAACATGCGCACACTACTGCTACTGCTGCTGCAAGACTCTGCGTGCACACAGAACAGGCAGACGTGGTCGAGTGTTGGTACATGAAGTGCACTGCATAACCTTTCTGGTGTGGATGGTCTGCTTCCTACTTGTGTCCATGGTGATGTTATTGCTTTACCTTGAATGTTCCAGTATGGATAATTATTTATGTTGCATTCATTTCAATAAATTTTTATTGTGAGCTGGGTCACATCTCCACACTTCTGTCCAGCAACTGGGTGGTGTCACCTACATGTCTTCATGGAGATAGATACGTTTAATTCTTTACTGTGGAACATTCCAGACTAAGCAATAACATGGCAGTCTCTCAGCGAGAAAAGTTACAAACCTTTAAGTGAATTGAGTTGTGCTGTTATTAAAAGTGTTGTCGGTAATGTTGAATTATCAGGGATGAACATGATTTTGTTGAAACTGAAAGCCCTGACATTTACTCTTTTATCTCTCTTATATTTTGAACCCTGATGGACAAAACACTGTCTGAGAAAGTCAGGCATTTGACAACATGCCTGATTGGACAAAATTGCTTCTACAGTTCTCAGTTCCTCAAATTCCTTTTAAAATGCATGTTCCCCTGTCCTCTGCTTTTACAAAACATTTGCCTGAATAAGAAGTAATAAAAGTCACGTACAATGTACAAAAAAGTGTCTCATGTGGAAGTGATGCAAACCAATTTGCTTACATGGACAAATAAAGCCTATTAAGTAAGTAAGTTTTGCTAAAATCTTGGTTTTGAACACAGCTTTTGCCAGTTTACAGTATTGTGGTGTCACTGAGCAACACATTTCATCTGTCTTACTTAGACTAATGCAGTTTTATGAATGTGATTGATTCAGAGTCAGAGCTTAACACCAACAAGTGTGAATGAATCATAGTCAGTGGTCTCACTTTAACAGCAACAATCTTATTAACATCCAGATAAAAGTTATTAAAGGAAACTTTTTCAAAAAACACATAAAATAAGTAACTGATCCTACGTTTTAGTGCTTTTAAATAAGAAACAATGTCTCTCACTGATCAGATTCATGCAAAAACTGAGGTTCAACCTTTTAAAAGCCCCATAGAGCAGTAAATGTATTCAGTGGGAGATAAACTGTTGTGTGGGCGAGGAAGGCGCTAAGTTTCAAAATGCACTTAACATTTTGTGAAGCATTTTCTATTTCTAGCTCAGCATGAAGGTCGCCACGAAATATCTTTTGGCTGCTTTGTATTGGTGGAATATTTTAGGTACTGAAAAATGCTGCCTCATTCTGTTTATATTGACCATCAAATATTGACCATTTTTATTTTTACTATACATTTTTAGTTGGGTATTTATTGTGTTTACAAATAAAACTACTTCATTCTTAAAAAAAAGTATATACAAAATTACAGAAGTCACTGCTGATGTTGTTAATTCAAATGGCTAAACTGGGATCTATTTTACCTGTGGCTGTTTAAAGTTATTATCCTTAACTGCAAGGCAAATAGCTCAGAGGCAAAACAGACCTAGACCAATGTCCCACCTTTGCATTAAAGACTTATCCACCAAGTTAATTAAAAATCAAGAATGCTTCAGTGCTGCCTTCCACATCAATGAGTATGTTTCACATACTTGTATGTATAAAGATACAAATATACATTTATAAAAATTTTTGAGTGACATCACAAGCTATTATAAATCCTAAAATATTGTGAAAATTGTAACTTTAACATGTTTTTTTATACGGTTGCACTTTTGGGCTTACAGATGTACTTACTTTTGGTGACAACTCCCTCCAGTCTGATGATATTGGGGTGGTCAAACTGTCCCATGATTGACGCTTCTCGCAGAAAGTCCCGCCTCTGTCGCTCCACATATCCTCCTTTCAGAGTCTTTATGGCAACGGCAATCTCCTTCTTCCCCGGGGTCCTGAGTCTGCCGCTACACACCTCCCCAAACTCTCCTACAAACATACAGTACAGTATCGTGTACATTAAAAATGTACTTTATCACCACCGGAGGGCAGTGTTGTCATGTCCATCCCATCTGAAGTAGAGCCTCTCCATTGATAAGTTCATCAAAACAGAATAGTTCTCACACAATGACATTTGGTTATTTTTGTTTTATAAATGCACATAATTAAATAATGTTTGTCTCAACCAACAATTTTTCTTAATTTTACAGAAATGGCAGAAAAGAAAAGTATAGAATAGGAATGCAAATTGTATTAAAATGAATAACATGCAGAAATAGCTCATTATATAATTGTTCCAAAACCTCACATAATGACTTCAAATGTATTAAACTTTACAGCATTTAGTCTAAAAGGAGCTGGCCAGTGATTCAAATTTGCAACAGTATGGCAGTTGTCAATTGCCTGTATTGTCATCATAAGATAACCTATTAATATAGCGTACATTTTGTTGATAGTTACTACTGACAGACCTTCTACACTCCTCTATATGCAGCTGTGTACATCATTTAGCCTGTCTCATGGGTTGTCAGCTCTCTCACCTGCTCCGATCACTCTCTCAATACGGATGCGACACGGGTCGATCTCCTTGGTGAACTCGTGCACGGCTTGTGTGGGGTCCTCATACGTGTCAGGGTCAACGTAGGTCTTTATCCCCGGGAACGGCACTGCACAAACAAACACATAATGAGTGTCAGGGGCACCTCTCTCTACCACAACCACTGCAGACTGTAGACTAGCATGCACAAGGGATAAATTATTAAGAAAATATACTATACTGCTATGTGACCACTACTGCAACTACTAGTACTAATACTACTACTGTTTGTTGAACCAGATATACCCCTGCAGCACCAATATGGTACTTACGGCTAATCAAACTTCTTCCATTATTACATACTGAAATTAACTGCTACTAATATCAGCAAAAATCTTCTTCAACATTTATTTTAAATACATGCATAGTATGTTATGATAATGTAAACTAGCATTAAATCTACAGCAATGCAAGAAATCTAATCCTATTTAACACATTGATGCTGCTTGATGGTGTGAAATGTGTGATACACTGAATTAAGTTCTGTAGCTTTATATAAAATGAGCTGATTTCAGTACACAAACACTGAATAATGAGCCCCATTCACAGACAGAAGCTTATGCAAGTTAAACACTTAGCTGCATTAACATCATCTATCTCAAACATCCATTTCCATGGAGACAAGCAAGTGACTCCTCCAAACCAAGTTTTTTTTTGGCAATAAAACCCCTTGTAACCAAATAAACGGAAGGTCGGTTTATACCATAATGTGGAACATCCCAGACAAAGACAAATAGTCACAGTTTTATATAGTGCTTTTCCATCTTCAAGGCACTCAAAGCAGTTTTGTGTGGGACTCAAACCGCCAACCTTCAAATGAGTAGACAAATGCTCTAACAACTAAGCGACTGCTTCTACTTTACACTTTATTGCTACATAAGCAGTTGACGGACCTACCACCAAAAAGCTTACCTAGTGCAACCATAGCCCATCCAGAAATCTCACCAGGACCACAATGACAATTTGTTGCTTACTTTCATTATTGCCTGTAAATAGTGTTTGGTGATATTACTTAATGCGCCAAAGGAACACTTTAGGGAAGGAGCCAGAGCTACAAGGAAGCCAAATGCAATTATATTATTTTAATTTTCCATTAGAGACGACACATTCAGTGAAATGTTAGAACGGAGCACTGAGCTGGGGTAACACAACTCCTTTCATTGCCCAAATTCATGTTTATTTAATTGGCTACAGTTTAATAGATGATAATAATTAGTGGCTAATCATTTCATCTAAATACCACACAGTCCAACCAGCATTACATTACATGACATTACATTAGAGGATGCTCAAATGTAAATGGTCCAGTGTTGCATATTCAACACTAAAAGACTGATGAAGAAGTCCTTGCAATTCTTTTAAATGTTTAGGTACCTGTTGATTTGCCAATGCAACAACTAAGTAAAATTGTCAAGCGGTTCTTTTTACCAAGTTACAAATAAAGGATTAGGATCTGACAAAGTTTCATACGAAGTAACTTGCCATGGTTCAAATATCACCATTGTGAGATAGGGTCTATCTAAGTCGATGCCCTCCATGTGCTTCTGTCTACTTGTTTAGTTCTTTTCTGTTCTCTGATTTGCATTTAGATAAGGTGTTTTAGATTAGGTGAAGAGGCTCTATTGCCTTCACTGCTCATATGGCTTATTTGGCACTGGAGTGGCTATCAACACTTTTTTGGCTGACCCATTGGTAATTTTTGTCTGATAATTATCATTTGGAGAAAAATAAGTGCCTCTTAAATACTAACTAGAAAATAGAAGTTTCACATACATCTGTATTGGGCACTTGGATGGAATTTTGTCAATACATTAACTTCTGTAAAAATGTGTTCATCTCCACAGTTTGTCTCTGGCCATTAGAAAAACAAATAAACCACGCATTCTGACACAGGTGCTACAAATTCATTTTGACACACAGTGATGCATTTCCACCTGCCTATCGATTATGAACACAGAGGCAATTGATCCTAAGCCCGAAGTCCAATAACTTCTCTCCAGCTCAGCGCAGAGGAGTAACATACTGTAGCACTCACAAACACTCGGGCTTTTGCAGATGGAAAGAAGATATTTTAACTAAAGTATTATGATGTCTTAAGTGACTTGGACCTATACATTTTCGTTGTAATAATACTAATGCATTAATGTTATATAGCTTTTTTCAGATGCTCAATGTTGGTTTAGAATTTCATGCATTATTATTGTAGCCACAGCTGTCTTAGGGTAGACTGACTAAATACCATCCGACTGCAGTGTCTTGCCCAAGGACACAAGCACAATAATGCAATGTTATCATCATTCAGATTCATTACGAGAATCTGATTTGGAAAAAGATGACCAAACTACGACAATGAATACTCAATACTGTATGTTATAATTATTTTACAAATTCAGGGTTTAGTTCTTCTGTTCTGTTCTTCTAAAAGTGGGAATCCCAACAACGCCAACCCAACAAAGCACCTGTCTACTGCCTTTGAGCAAGTACAAGATCAATCTACCAGTTCTCTCTGTGACCCTTGACCTCTCTTTATGTTTGAAGGCTGGACTAGACACAGGTACTACCCCTGTCTCCGATCAATACCATATCACACAACAAAAAAACTACAATATGTTCTCTCTGATGCATTGAGTCACTTCATCCACTCCCTGAGGACCACCCCAGCATCCCAGAAGCCTCTGCGTTTGATACAGCAATTCTCTACTGCACTTTGTTTGTTAGCCATCTTCAAAAGCTCATTTAAACCAAAAGTTCTATTTTCTTACCTTCTGCGGTGTGTGTATGTCTATCTAGTATACTCCTTTATTATGTTACCTTTCAACTCACTCCAACCAATCCCAATTTTACCTCATGTTCTCATTTTCACTTGACAGCAATCTTCCCTCAGCTAGGTGCTTTTACACATCTTTGTTGGGATGAAGACTTATAGAAAAATAGTTCAAAGAAAATGAAGCTATTGGAAGGAGTACATTGAGAGATATTACATAACAAGCTTAAAAGAGAAGGTACTACTGCATGCATGGATTATATACTGTAGTAGCTTACTCATCTGTACATTTTCAACCCTAAAGGAAATAAATGTAGGTCTACATTTTCAAAATATATATAGAATCCAGGTTTTACAGGTCCTATATTATGCAAAAAAGATTCTTGTGAGTTTTATGCCATATTATAATGCTTTTACCTCTTCAAAACATACCTGGTGTTTGGTTCAGTGATTGGATAAATAAAAAAAGTACCCGCCTATGGTCAAGCGAATGAATTCTAATGCTGCAAGGTCAGATGGTGTCTATGAAATGAAACCGGCTGATGAATCAGGCAAAGAGAAAAGCAATTCCAGGTCTGAACCCAAATCCAAATGATTCTAGTGAAGGTGGAAGACTGGAGTTTAAAAACACAGTGGAGCACTTTCTGTATTACTACATGACATCACAAGGTGGAACAGAGTGTTCTCCAATTGAGGAAAAACTCGACCTAAATATGCAAGATTTGTGTGTTAAATCTATGAAAGAAACAAAACACAACTCATAACTATATGCTATGCTTTTGATAAGGAAACAACAGTATAACAAATTATAAAAATGTAATATGAGCCCTTGAAATGTTCTTCAAGTTGACCCCAAATAAGATCTTAACCCTCTAAGGAAGTACTAGATAATGGATTGATTTCACTGATGGGACAATGTGCTATAATACAGTATGAATAGACAGTGAAGAGGACTTACCCAGGCCATTCTGGTAGCTGGCCCTCCTCTTGTCCTCTGCGGTCATCTTGGCTTTAATGTACCACTGACACCTGCAACATAGAGAGATATTAAACCCCATAAGAGCTGTCCAATTATCTATTCAACAACATTTAAGTGGACATATAGTGTAAAGTCGACTTTTATGAGCTTGTAATCATGTTATAATGCTCTTCTCTTGCATTAGCTAACTCATAGTTGTATTATGATTGCCCAAAAAGAACACTCGCAAACTGCTGGTAGATTTTCAGGTTGGCTAGAAATACTATTAATTAACATTGGACAGAAAAGGTTCCTCTTTCAACATTATAGCATAAATTGGTCTAAAGATCGTTATCCCCAATGCCCAGAATGGAAAAATCTAAATATAAACCATGGAGTATTAATATGACTGCTCAAAACAAATACAAAATATAATTAAACCTTTAAAAATGTGATAAGGAGTCAAGTATAAAAGGTGCATTGTGCAAATTTTCTGGTGAAGGGTGTGTCAAATCCTTTTCTCCAAGGAGACATTATTGCTTTGTCTGGAATGTTTCACATTATGGCATTAAACCTTTCAGGATGCCTGTTTTTCTAGGTATTTTCTGAGCTATACACCACCTATAATTTAATAAATATAAGATAGAGCTGTTTAATGTCATAGTGTGAAACATTCTAGGCAGAGCAATGACATATTAATAGAAATAATCAGGTGATGGATCCCCAACCAAAAAGTGACACTGTGCACCTTTAAATATAAGGTGCAGTAATTTAACTACTATTTTAAACTAAAGAATGCATAGACCTGGAAGACCTCCACATACAGACGCCTACGAAACAAGAGCTGAACAATGCAATAGCCTAATGGAAACTGTAATTCATTGTTAACACTGTTGTTGATAATGTCACAGATTTATAAAAGTCATATAAAGGCAATCTGTTGTGTGAGAAACTGAATGTAAACAAAAGCTGAATAAGAAGGATACTGTTTTCAGCTAATGTACCAGAAAAGTCAGACATTTGAGAAGTAATGGGGCTGATTTGTTGTTTTGGTCAAAGAAAAAATATGTAATGAACTTTTAAGTGAGTTTATTCAACATACAAAATGGTTGTTGGCCAAGTACTCACAACTTAAAAAAATGGGCAGTTTAAGCTAGGCCAAAAGGGTAAGCAATGGTGGAAAGATCTTAGCGACAACAACAAAAAGCAAAATCCTTTGTTTTTTAAATTCTTAATTATAATATGACTTATGAGTGGCCAAAATCTATTCTAAACATGAAGGTATATTTATTTAGTGGATGATCTCACCACTCCGAAGTTTAAATACTTTCTCACAGAATGCTGATTTCCTTATCCATGGTTTCAGAATGATGAAAAATTAGGACCGCTGCCATAGTAATTAACAATTTAAGACATATTCGGATAACATATATATTTACCTACACATATCTTTTGAATGGGAAACAGTCCTAAAATGTTGTATATAACAATACATTCAAACCCATGAACACATTAAAAGTTGTAAACGCTACACTGACAGAAGTAGAAACAGAAGAAACAGGTGAGACACTGTACATCACTTTATTATCGACTACACAGTCTGTTAGCAGTGTATGTACCATGTTCCCATTGTGACGCACACAATCTCTCACTTGCACCAGAGACTCCTGTAAAACACTTGCTGGATATTTACTTGTTGAAAAGCGTATCTGACACTGCTCTGAGGATGGCACTGGCAGCAAGTGAAGTATGAACTCAAATTCCCAATACACAAAAACAAAATGTGTCAAATTCAGAGTCACTTCACAGGAGCAGGTCTTTAGAGTGAGGCGGTTTGGAGTGGTTTGTCCCTTAACGCTGTTCTGAATGTATACAGCGCAGTGGATGAGATGAGAGATAGTGTCTAGTGTAGCTGAGGGAGCTATAGGAGAGATGAACTACACAGACATCGGACCACACATGAGGCTGGAAAGTAGCAGTGCAGCTAAGTACTCTTGCCCCTTAGCAACAAGTTACAAGGTTTGATTCCCTGTCTATGGGGATCTGTCACATTTATCTAATTTTAGTCCTGGTTTGATCCCAGTTTTGTCTTGATGTAGACTTGGTTTGATCCTGTTGTAGTCCCAATTTTAATCTCAGTTAACACAAATTTAAGAAGTGTGTTAAAATAACACAGTTTATGTGTTCTATTGAGTCTTATACCCCAGACATAGTTACCGACATAATTATAGTAAATAAATATTATAAAAATTTTATAATTATGTGGTGTATTTAAATTTGATATATATATAAATATATATATATATATATATATATATATATATATATATATATATATATATATATATATATATATATATATATATATGGACAATGTTTTGACTCAATTGTCAAACAGGGCAGGGGTCATAAAGTCTTGAATTGAATAAACCCTTTCAGGCATCATAAAATTGTTTCCCCTATTGCAATTCATTTATTTGTCAGGAACATAAAAACTGATGGCCATGAAACAACCGAAATCTGTTGTCTTAGTATATCGCCAAGTTGTTGTAATTCATTCTGCCATTTTGTGCAAAATTGAAACTTTTTCGCCGCATAGACACATTCAATGACAATGTGAATATAGCACACACACGCTTGCAAAAATGTATCTTCGTGCTTGTTTTCGCTGGAGAAAAACAAAAACACAATAACTACAACTTGCCAAGGCGCTGCTGGAGCTACACTCACCCATGGCACCCGACCATTATCTGCGTCTGATGTCAAGGCAAATGGCCAAGCTGCTCATCTACAATGTGCCGTCCCTGTGCTCGGCTCATTCACGCTCAATTGATCGAGTGCTTAGACCCGCCTCCTCCGACTGCGTCTGGGCCAAAGTAGTGAACCGTCCAAACACACAGGACAGAGAGCTCACTGCCAATGATACAGAGGCTGGAGCTTGGTTTGTAACTGTGGCAGCTGTCCAACCTTATATCTATGACTATTAGTACCATTATCTACTATATGGGCTGTAGTTGGAGCATTCTTACAGTGGTTTTCTTTTCTGTTTTTATTGATTTAAATTAGTTTGAAATGCAGAGAATTTATTGGTTCAATCCAGAGAAAAAAATCTTCATCACTTCGCTAAAGGCAGTCATTCCTAACCTATAACCTATAACCTATAAAGGTACTTTTCCTTCTTCTTCTTTCTTCCTCGTTGGATCAGAAGATTGGTATTATTTGGTATGGGGTATCCAAATATACTTAAATCCCAGGTATCAATATCAGGACTCAACAGCCTATATTTTATTAACATTTCAAGGGTACTCAAGGGGTACTAGGTATTGTTTTACCCCATTTACACATACACCAATATTACAAACACAAGAGGAAAACTGGATTAAGCATTTCTAAAGTGTAAAAAAAAAAACATCAATATGAAAAATAGAGCAGAGATCTAACTACCAACCCTTTGATTCCTTTCAGAGGGAATATAAGTTCAGAAAGCAATTGATAAAGCCATCTGTGTCCCCTTTTCATGTGGGCAGGTATATTTGGTAGCATAGGTGCATGTGTGTCTGAGCCCCTCTCTGCCCTTTGAAGCCTTCACATAATCCAGGTTGCCAGATTAGAGCCGGTGTCAAAGGTGCTCTGAGCGGCGGGGGTTGCCAGATTGGGTCTTTTTGGGCTCAGTGGACTCTGCGGACCCCCAGACACTGATGGACAGAGCAGATAGCGCTAACCAGGGCCTGGGATTTAGACAGCGCCTGTTGACCTCTGCCGATGGGGTCAAGTTATTCATTAAAGTAACAGTGGCATGTGTTGTTATCAGCCATTTCCAGTCCCATCCTCTGATCCTCCTTATCCGCCATGGCTCTGTCTCCTCTATAAGCTTTCATGTTGAAAAGAGCAGAACACCCACAATACCCTCTATGCTATCAACCACAAAAGGCCTGGGCTGCTGCTTAGCTCTCTGGATTGTCAAGATACATTTTCATTTTATGTTTATGTTGAAGCACAATCCCCAAGGAGAGACAGCGGGCCCAGTGTCCTAATCAGAGCATCAGTGTAATACGAGCCACTGCTCTTTGGCCTGACATGACTGCAGACAGCTCATTACAGAAGACCTCCTGCTGCAGGGACCAAAGGGCACAGAAGAGGACAGAAATGCAATGTAAAGTATGAAGAAAATTTTAATTGAAAGGATTAGTGATTGTTTTATGAGTGGTATAGAAAAATCCATATTTAGGCTGTGTTCGCACTTGTCCTGGTTTGATACTGTTGGTTTTTATATGTTGAGTGCAAATTTCCTCGAGTGGGACAATAAAGAAGTTGAACTTGATCGCACTGATGTGGACTTGTTCTTGTTCTAGTCCTGATTTAGTCTTGGTCTAGTCAATGTCGGTCTAGAATGTTCCACAGAATGGCATTAAACTTTCATACCTTCAAGAAGACAAGCAGGAGGCTTCAGCCAAGTTGCGGGTGTATCTGTGTAGAGGTGTGCAGGTTGAAAGTGTGTCAGGGTGGCTGTGGTGGGTGGGCGTGAGGAAATGATTATAAATACCTTTGCAGAGCATTTTGGGTAATAGGCAATATATGAAAAGTACATCATATATAAATAAAGTTTGATTGATAAGTTGTTATTTAAAATGCACAATTCATGTAGAAGAAATAAAATCACCTGATTTAGCCACCACAGGAGAGAATGAGTGAAGGAGAATGAGTGAAAGTGTGTACTGTAAAAATATTTACAGAAGAAATGAAGAGGGAGATAAGATAAATGTGTAGGGATCACTCAAACATAATAAAACCAGACTAGATGTGTTACTTATGAAGGAGCAATATTATACCTATGTTAAAATAAATCAGTTTAGCACAACACAGTTTATATTTTTTCCCTTTGTCTGTGTTATATGTGTGTATGCGGATATGTTTTGTCTGTCTCAGGGACTGCAGATGGAAATGAGCTCCGAGAGCTACAGTCTGGTACAAAGCATCTCTTTAATATTTCTTTGATTAATGCTCCTGTACATGGCCCCTGTCCAATAAACTAAACTAAACTTTGGCGTTGTAACATTTTGTCACTTTAACCAAAGCACTACAGTTGTTATATATTTTTATATTCATAGGTTATCATCAGAAATCTTGCATCTTAAACAGATGTAGACCAGAGCATATATTACTGTCTTGAGCATGATATTCTTACTAAACAAAATGTGTTAGAAAAATGTAAAAGCAGGTCATTTGATTAGCACATTTAATAATGCATTAAGTTAAATGCCAGTCTGTTTTACATACAGTATACCATACAGATTTTCATGCAGTTATTCAGAATCAACCTTTGCCATTTGTTTCATAAATTAAAAACAACTTTTGGACAGCTCTGAAGAACATTTGGTGTTTTTCTTTAGTTTGGAGCCCTTCCCACTCAGGTCATAGAAACACTGGATATGACAGATATGGCATTAAAAACAGCAGGACTTAAGTGGGTTTGTAGTTCATCTTAAAAATACTTCCTCTTTAGCAAGAACATAAACATCGTAAAGGTTGTTTTAGTGAAGTGTGAAAGAGAGACTCACACCAGACTACACAAACAAGGAGGCAACAAAGTGAAGAAGTATAGATTCACCTTGAGAGCAGTCCTCTTTGTAGCTCAAGGAAACTTACCATTTAAAAAGAACTGTTTGAGGTTTAACATGATAAATTGAAATCATCTAATTTAAATGTGGGTTTACAAGGTTCTTTAAAGTGCATTGTGTAACTTTTCTGGTAGAGGCTCCGTCAAATATTTTTCTCTGTGGAGATTTTATTGCTTTGTCTGTAATTTTTTACAGTATGGTATTAAACCTTTCTATCTTCATGGACACCAAACCAGACCAAGATACAGGTCAGATCTGTGGAGAGACAAATCACCTCACAATGAGAATGCCTGTTTTTCTAGGTATTTTTGTGCTACAAAACCACCTGTAATTTAAGGTAGAACTGTTTAATGCCATACTGTCGAACATTCTAAGCAGAGCAGAGACATATTCATAGAAACAAACAGGTGACGAACCTCTAAACAAAAAGTAACATAATGCACCTTTAGTGCAAGCAAAGTTGGAAATTGACTACTATTACTTTTAGAACATGCTTAGATGTTAAGGAAACTAATAATATGTACATATCAATATGTGGCCTACAATACAATATGTGATTTCAAGTACAGTTACAAACAATCCCAACTGTATGTACAGCAATTTTGCAAGTAGATGATATTTCAGACTGAAAATAAATTAAAAAGTATGTTTTAGAAATGTGTTTGAGTCTGGATTTCTGATGAAACACATTTTGGATGTTTTGTTGGCTCTGCACAGTTATTTGTGAGTGTCTTGGGGCTAGAAACCAAATGACTGACTCTCCAAACCTCATGTAGTTCACACTTTACTGGAATCATTGCTGATGTTTGGGCCTGGTTGTTCTTTTGCACATTAGCTGTCACTCACATATCTACAGAAAACACCACGAGACACATCATGCAGGACTGCAGCGAGCTGAATAGATGTTCTGCTTTAAATACATTTATTTAGTTTTGCATTTTAAACATGGTATAAATAGAACTGCATGACATTTTTTTGTGGAGTAACTTAAAAAAGTAATTTCTGCATCTCAGGATTAAAAACATAGCATGAAATATGTCTATTTTATGGATACTGTCATTGTGTCCTTATAGGCAAGACAACCACCGGCCACCGCTGTCTGTGTACATGCGTGTGGGTATGGGTGATTCCTTGATGTGGAGCAGTTTTGCTTTGAAAAGTGCTATAAATGTGTTAATTTATTACCATTTAAGTCTCCTCTTTTTGGTGCACCATTTTGAGCACTTTTTACCATTTAAAATATATAATCATTAGTTTTCAGCTGTTACTACGGCAATGGTGCTAACTGCTTTCATTCTGAAACCAAATGTCTGATGTACATGATGATGCTTCAGAAACCTGTTCAAAAAGAGACTGCTGGTTGTGCTTTTCTCTGGATTCTCAATTAGGAGAATATAATATTTAATTTAAACTGAAAATTGCTATGGCATCAGTGCTGGATTTTCATCACTTTGAAACCCATAGTCTCAGGACTTTGCATCACAATTATAAGCAACATACGTATAATTTTACATTTTACATTTCACAACATTAGACAGACTATATTAAAGCTGTCTTACCTTCCAGTGATGAGCAGAAACAGAGTGAGGATGACGAGGAGAGTAAATCCTCCCACAGCTGCCGTGACGATGACCAGCACCTGCCCCTGGTCGGCTGCCAAGTCCGAAGCTTTGAACAATCACATGCAAAACAATAGGAAAATATGGAGAGAGATTAGATGTAAAACGTGAAACAAGACAAAAAGTATGCATATTTGAATGTAAAGTATGGGACATTAACATGAAAGAGCCAAAAAGAGGAGAGAGAAAAAATAGATTCACAGTTATTTTAAATATTCCATTTAATCAGGGCACCATACATACGGAGCACGCAGATATTACAGAAAAATGTTTGATCATCGCTTTGTAATGCAAAAACCTTGTCAGCCCCTCCACTGGAGTGATCCATAGACCGGCTGCTGTTTAATTAATATTATTCATTCATGAAATTGTGATTTAGTCCATGATCATTTGGTTAAATTGGTCTCATTTGATATTCATGATTTTCTTCTTTCTCTGTCTTGTCACAGGGCTAACGAATCCCAGATAATTGAAAGATGATTGCCATTACCAAACTTATTTCGATAATATTTCACACTTAATGAATATGAATGGGCAAGGGCTACAGCGATGGACTATAGAGGTGGATACAGTGCGTGGACGGGCATCTGGTTTAAGGCTTTAGAGAGAACAGGACTGGAGGTGAGCGTGACCGTGGACATGTACAGTGGACTTACTATAGTGTGCAGTGGGTATGTACATTTACAAGGACAGAGCAGAGGTCCACATGAGCAGATTGAGTGGAGAAGTTAAAAAAAAATATTTTGCTTTAATATCACAATTATTTTATTTTATGTATTATTGTAAATGTGAGCTGGAAATATTGGTTATGGGCACATTTTAGAGATTTTTCAGAAGTAGTCCTTATAAACTTAATTTTAAAAGGTCAATTAAAATTTTTTTAATATTTGCCACAAGACAGGCTATTTGCGGTCTCACTTCATCTGAAAACAACAAGATCCATCCCTCATAGGTTCCACAGAATTGGAATGGTCAAAGAGTTCTGACAGACCATTAGGAAACTGACAAGAATGTGAAAATCAAACAAACAAACAACAACAACAAAAACAACAGCAATACCCATAAACTAATCTAAACTAAAACTTGGAATTGAAAAATTATTTTGTACAAATATCAATAGTAAAAAAAAAAAATTGTATACACATATAATACACTAACATAAACTCTTAGAATGCTGTTATTTTGTGCTTCTTATTTGCCTTGTTACACATAGGCGCAGTACGTAAATCACTTTAATGTAGATTTAATATAAAAGACATAACCACTGGCACAAAAAATAAATAAAAATTGAAAACAGAATAACCCAAAAAGAAGCTTCTGATTATATTTAGAAATTGCATTAGAGGCAGATTTACAGATGAAAACTGTTTTCCTTAAAAATAGGCTGTTTGGGGCAACAATATTCAAGGTCAGATTTTTACCTTGGGCTTTGTTGGGGAGTAAACATACGGAATAGATATTTGATAAACCATCACAAAATGACGAGTGAAGTGAGATAGAAACAAACAGGAGTTAGAAGGCTGTGAGCGAGTGACAGGAGAGGAGACAGAGGAGCAGAGCGTGGACAGTGAGTGACAGGGGGATGGACAGGGCCACAGAAAGCTGCAGCGACAGGGGCCTGGGCTGCCTTCTCTTTGACATAAAAGGCAGCCCAGTACAAAGGCCTGGCCCAATGCCTCCTGATCTACAGATAAAACCAGGTCTGAGGCTTTGGAGAGCACAGCCAAATCACCCCCAACAATAGCTAACCTGACATGAAAGGCCAGCCGCACCTTTGTACTTTAGGAGTCGACTTCCAATAAATCCACTACACACACACAAAAACATTCAATCAAAACATTAAGCAGGTATTGGCATTTTCCCTAAGAGACTAGACTCAATAGGAAGACACAGGGAGGAAATCTGTTTTAGAGACAAAGTTTGAGAACAAGTGGCCACACATGCATATAGAATTATCAACAGCTGCACTTCTGTAACATCGCCTAGAATATTTGTAAGATAATCCATGTAGAGTTATATGGAATCATATTGGGTCTAAACTTTAAATTCTTCCTTATTTTTTTATATATGAGCTTCTAGGATAGTATAATGTGTAAATATAATCTGAATCATCTGAAATATATTCAGAATAAATGGGCAACTGAGAAAAGCAATAGGTAAACATGGTTGTTTTCTCAACTACTGCTGCTATAATGTCCACTCTTTTAATTATTGTGGTATCAAAGCATCTGATTCTCTCAGATTATCTCAAAAAGTTTTAAAAAGTTTGCTAGATTCAGTGATTTGCATATTAATTGTGCATGTGTTCTACCCCAGATGCCCTTCCCCCAGGAAAAGTAGCATGCTCAACAATAGGCTCATTAGACCATATTCGCATAACTGAAATAAGCTGATGTGGCATATTTCTTTGCTATGAAATACTATTATCCAAGGGTATTTTTGAATAGGATACATTTGACCTAGCTTCTAAACAGAAATAGCTGGAAGATCAATGGAGATATTTTAGAGGACAAAACATGTAGAAGAAGCTACATCAATAACAAGGTCAAGTTATATATTATATTAAATTGTAAGTCCCACAATAGTAAAAATAGATACACAAAATGGAAATATATTCAAAGTGACTGACAGTTCTTTGGCAAAGACACATTTTTACACTAGAAATACCATTACACAACATGTTTAATTAGGCATGCATAGTAAAGCATATGAAATAATTGGATCAAAAAGGTGTAAATTATGTATTGCCAAATGAACGAGCTTGTCTTCCACTTCGCTAACGCGGAAACTAATTTACATGCAAGTCTGGGGCAACCCAAGGGACTGTGTTAACTTTTAGCATATTTAAAACTTCTCTGCAGTGGATTGAGATGCAGCCAGTGGGAGTGTGGCATTGTTGTTTCACTTCAAATTTCATGTGTTTCTTGAATACATTTCCCTATAACCAGTCTAAAAATATGAGTCTGCGTATGCACATATAGATGCAGACTTTGGGATCCTCTGCACTTATTATTTGCTGTTGTGACATTGATGCAAAGAGCCTCCAGTGCGACTCCAGGGCATCTGAACTTCACCTGACCCTGCACCTCTGCTTACAGCAGGCATTTTCAGCCACGGAAATGTCTTCAGCTGATAACTGTTATGGCCAGAGGATATTTTTAATAGTTAAGTGAGTCTATTTGCTGTCGTTTGGGTTGGAGTTTGATGTTTTTTATGTGGTCTTGCAACTAGGATCTTGTCCTGTGAACGTTTGAGTGATATTGGTGGGAATTTCTTGGACCTGGCCAGTTCAGTTCTGCACTATGTAATTTTTATAGTGGAGGGTCACCAACACGTTTCCATGGGGATGTTGCCTGGTGATGTGACCTACTTGGATGTTTAATGCCAAAGTTGTACATACAAGGCCACGTAATAACAACTCCCTGGAGACATGCAGAAAAATTACATACTGCACCTTTTTTTTTTTTTTTTTTTTTTTTTTGCATTTTTTGTGTCCTATGTAGTTTGTGAACCTTTATCTAAAGCTAAGGAAGTTCTCTAGTAAATTGTGTTATCATGTGAACAGTGGATAAGCCATTTAGCAGAACTGTTTGTTCTTCAAAAGTTCTTCAAATATTTGAAAGTTTCAGTGTTATAATGAAGTAATGGATAGATCATATATGTAAGATATACAGTAATGAAGTACTCACAGTCTCCCGTTGTCTCGTACTCGTATTTGGGGGAGTAGGAGCTGTACCCGGCCACTGTCCTGGTTCGTACACTGAAGACATACCATGTGGCAGGCTTCAATCCAGAAACAATCACACTGGGAGCCCTGGTGCGAGTGGAGGAGTAACTCATCTGCTCATGGTCCTGAAAGAAAGAAAAGAATCATTCAGAAAGATAGAACATTAAAATATAATGAGGAGTTTTATAGCAGGTTTGTATATTAACCAGATCCTATGTACACTACAATTTTTATCACTTTTGTTGACTAAGTATGTATATACTGAGAATTTACTCATTTCAAAACAGCCAATCAATGCAGCCCTATGATATTGTGTTGTTCATGTTATGTGCTGTTCTTCAGAACTGAAGATGCTTCTTGGATGAGGGGGGAAATGTATTCTCTCACTACAGTTGACAGAATTACATTTTCTTCATTTGCTATCTCCACAGAGGCAAGCAGATGGCAGACACGTCACTGGAGAAGTTACATGTTGCATCTTTAAATAACTCATATTACGCTATTTACTAATCTATGTTATAATGTCTCCCCATCAAAAACATACTTGAAGTTGTGTTTTGTTTAATTCACACATGTTTTACACACAAACCCTGCATATTTAGGCTGAGTTCTTCTCTCAAACAGAAAACACTCCATCTGGCGATGTCATGTGGTAATACATGAAGTGCCCCATTGTGTTTTTAAACTCCATACACCTTTACTTGAATCATTTGGGTACTTTCAACCCTGGAAATGCCAATCTGTACTGAACAAAAAGTAAAAGTGTTAATTTGAAAACTACTGCTTCATGACATCACGAGGTGGAATAGAGCAGTTCGTGCTCTGGAAATTTAGACAGAATAATAATATAGGATTACTCAAACATGTGTGTATGGACCAAAACACAACTCCAGGTGTGTTTTTGTGGAGGTTTTCCAACACATACCTAGCTTCCTAATTGTTCACCACACTGAATTTATAAGTATGTTTCATCACTTAGCTATCGTCATTGAAAAGCTGACAACTACTAGCATGCATACCAGCTAAAAACACTTTGTAATTTGATGCATACAGCACAGAGTGGTCTCATTTTAAGTGTAGCAGCTACTTTTAATATACCTGCACTGGGGCAAAACAAACCTTACTTTATGGCATAAAAGAAAACAGCTCCTTTAATATTACGCCTGATCTATATGATAAATAATTGAACACCACTGTATGGAGATGTGGTTTGGCATTGTCTACTAACTCCACTAAAAAGACTCCAAGTTACTGGCCAAGCTCCACCTGCGCCCACTGTATCTCTAACAATGTAATCATTCAGCTTCAACCTCCAGTCCAGATTTGGCTGTGCAGCACGGCCCTGGTCACATAAAATTGCTTACTACGCTTGTGTGCACTCGAGGCTAAATTTCTGCAGCACCCACAACCAGTTTGAAATGAGTAGCTGCTATCACAATACAGTAGCAGTGAGCCGTCTATAAAGATGGGCAGTACGCAGTTCAATATGGGTTGACTGTAATCTTGGCACAACCTCCCTGTGTTATATAGAAAGTAAATAGAGTTTGTTATACCTTTTCATAGTATTTGACCTCGTACTCCAGAATGGGCAGGGCCGTCTGTTCCGGCTGCTGCCAGGAGAGGGCGATGCTGTTTGGGGAGGCCCAGTCCTTCTTCATGGCACCGACCACAGATGGACCTGTAATGGCAAAGAAGTTATATACAGTCAATAATGTGGTTGTTTTAAACAAAGTGGAGTGTAAGTGTTTGAATGACCAAAAGAAATCTGTAATACAGTTTTGTTGTCATTGTTCTATTTCTATGTTTAGGTGAAATTATTTAGACAGTGACAAAATCATAAAGCAAAAAATGCAAATACCAAAAAATTTTTACAAATTTCTTGCTTAAAAGACACAAAAAAGTTAGTAATAAGATGCCCAAGCCGTTTCAATTATGAACTTCTGAACGTTTATTTTTAAGTTCACATGTGAATAATAATATAAAACACAAACTCAATATACCACCACTGCATTGTGAATATTACTGTTACAATATTACAAGCAAGCAAATTAGTCAATTACATGGGTTAGAAATTTTTTAATCATCCCATCAGCTAATGCATTTTCTTTTTCAAGCTACATTATCTTACCACTAACCACTCAGAAATGCCCTGAAACCAGTTAGCAATTAGTCTTATAAGCACTTAAATCTATTCCATAAATCCGGATTAATATTTGTAACTCCTCATTGTGAGGCCAGGTATTCGATTTTTTTCAGTGCATTGAAACGCCTAATAAAACCTACTGTAAATCATGAATGTATTTACTATTTGCCTTCATATCACCACATTTCAGAGCAGCCTTCTTCACATACACCTCAAAGTCGGAAGCTTTTCTTTTCCAGCCGTATAAAGTCTTGTTGATGACAAGAGACCGCTTGACCCCGACTGGCAGCCTGTCTAACCCATATGTGTGCTGAATACTAAGAGCTGCTACTGTATATGGGCCATACAACTCCAGTGCGTTTTCTATGCAACACACACAAACACATACACTACAGAAGACAGACGCTTTTTATATTTATCAGCAGAAAATTATCACATGTCCATGGTCCGCATTCAATTATATGATTTCAAAGGATTTATTCCCATGGAGAGAGTAAAAAATGCATGCGTTTTGACTTTTCCCCGTAGATTCACATTTTAATTGAAAATAAGAACGATGAAGCTACTTGGACTCAATTGCATTACCTTGGCTGTATGAAATATTGCATGTTGGGTAATTGTAGAGTGGTGCTCCCATGAGAGGTCCGCACATGTAACTGTCCCAAGAGTCATTATTGTACATTATAGGGATGTTATAGTGGAAGCTGACTCAATACAAAAGAATAAGTTATGGTGTATGAAATAAAAATATGCTTTCTTGTAAACTGGTCTGTGCTGCAAAATATCTGACAGGATGTTTGCATCGCACTGACCTCTTAAAGGGAATATAGTATGCTAAATCAACATTATGAGCTTTTAACCTTGTTATAGTGATGTTCAGGCTCAGTTGCATTTCGATTGATTCATACATATTTGAGTAAACCTGCAGTATTCTATCTTCAAGGCTTAAGTTCAAACAAAAAAAGGCGTTTTTGGTTTTAAGAAATGGACTACGTATCACAGACGTAGAGTTAAAAAATGTCATGTAACCACTTTTCCGCAATAAATATGTAGATAAAAGTCTGCCACTGCCACTATAGAGGGGCAAAGCCTTTCACTTCTGTAGTTTTGAACAGGAAGGAACTTTATATCAATATCACATTTTTCAATTAACAAATGTAAAATAAGGATCTATGCTATAATTCATAAGTACAAAGTCTCTGCATTTTAACAAACACATGTAATCATTTGACTGGATATGCATATGCACATTTGGTTGTTCCTCTTCTCAAGCTGCCTTCAAACTGACACAGGATTTGCTGACCAGTCCTCCTGTAAAACTACCTACCTACCTATCCATCTATACATATCTTTGGGACATCACAAAATGTCCATATTATGAGACAGACAGATGCTGTATAGAGAACAGTAAAGGTATGATTTTTATAGCATCTCCATCATGCAATCACATGCTTTGTCCTTTACCTACTGAGCAATCAGGCAATGAGCTGAATATGTCATTTAAAATCACATCTATAGGTAACCATTTTGTAGCACTGAACTGTAATTTAAACTAAGTGAGAAAAGAGGATGAAAATGAATAATTTTTTTCTGTATATACTTTCAAAATACTCATCGACATCTAAAGAATAGTGGATTTTAGAATATATAGAGAATAAAATAACCTCAATCTTATGGCACACTGACACAAAAAATGAACTCTCCCAAACAAGCAGTAAATCAAAACTAGTTCATTTTCAAGGTTAATTCTGTATTTTCACCAAACTGAAATTCACTTAACATGTCTGGCATTACATGGTTTTCTTTTTTTTTTTTTTTTTTACATAAAATCTATTTTAATGCTTGGCTTCTTCTTAATAACCTGCACTTAATAGGCTCTCCAGGTTTGGCACTCTTTGTGAAATGTTGGCAGAAAGTACAATATTAATATCATGCGTGAGTGAAAACAGCTATCGTGCATTATAAACCCAATCAGTGAAGTCTATATGTTTGCATACATGAGCACATTCGGACGTATATAGCTGTATTTGGACACGTGCATATTTGGTCCTTTGCAGAAATGAGCAGAGCAGACGGAGTAGAAAATGCACCAATACAATGCAATAGGCCAATAGTGCTGACATCTCATTAGCTGTTCTGTTATAGGCCTAATAAGTTTATATGACAGTCTTGTTTTATATAATAAATTGGTCACATACAGACTGGGCAATGCATCTGTCAACATCAAAATAATCACCACTGACACCTGAAACACTTACAAGAGGGATATTACACTATTGGGTATTAATTGCAAACACATAAAAATATTAGATCACCATGTTACTTTTAATTGTTTTGAAAATGTCACTGTATTACTGTATTAACATGTTTTTATTAATGTTATGTTTAATAAGTTTAATTTTAGTTTTTGATGCTCTGAGTCACTCCCATTTCACAGCACAATAGACGTGCATTCTGCTAATGAAACTACTACACATCGCATCAGCGTTTGTTTTGTATCCTGCTTTTGAATACTTGTAAAATTGCCATGCGTACGCTTATGGGCTGAGGATGTTTGCTGAGCCCAGCCTTCACCTAATTTTCCATAGTCTCAGTAATATAGCTAATGATGATTTTGACAGAAAGGGCATCTGGATAAAACATGCAGTTCTTGGAGTGTGGTTAGTATCTAATAAGGAAGGAACAGCAGTGAAGAGTAGTAAAAGGTTTGGCCAGTTCAATAGATGACCAACTGTAGTTCAATAAGAATAAGTGCTTCATGCTAACACGGTGTCAGAATTCATATTGCATCCGCTTGTTTGCAGCACATTAGGCAGGTGCTTTCATATCTTTGTAGAGTGAAAGTGGCTTGCAATGACGAGATGTTACATGATCTAACTTTGTCTAATTTTATACTTTGTCCCATGGTCCTCAGTGGCAGCTTTTGTGCTCACACAGCTGGGAGTGTGACCAGGCCAGCGCTCTTGGCTGGTGATCGCAGTGATGTAGTCCGAAAACCAAGCAAAGACCCAGTAATATGTTTGGCAGCTGCTGTTAGCACACTGCCAATGATAGGGAACAATAAACACAGACACACAGTACTCCTCTGAGTCCAACCACACTTTATAACGATATTTTACACCTGTCCTCTGTCTAGAATGAGCCAATCAGCATCAGGCAACTATTAGTGTAAAGTTTATTAACAATAAAACTAAAGTGATTATAACAATAACAAAGTAAAACACATTCATTTGGAGTTCGTATTTGTATTACATATTTTAGCATTTAGTTGTTATTTTTTTCCCATGATTTATGGAGCAAAATAAATGACTTCTTCTTTGACTGTTCTAAATGCCATGTTCATAATTGCAAATTCTGAGATCACCCAAGCCAGCCAGTACATTCAGTGATTCATGGATTTGGATTAGATGATAATGTTAATTGTTATTTTAATTGTTAGCCAATTGCTACACCTGCAGACAAGATTTGCTTCAAAATGTGAAAAAGAGTATCTTCTATTAACTACCACAATACATGCCTTGATTATGGGCTACAGTGGGTCAGCCAAAATGCATTTCCTATACTTTACATCATGCTGTCTCTACAAATCTTGAGGGACATGATTACTACAACAACAACTACTACTACTACCAGTGTTGGGAAGGTTACTTTTAAAATGTATCCCCCTAGAGATTACAGATTACATACCACAAAATGTAGTTTGTAATGGAATCCATTAAATTACTTAAGGTGACCAACGCAATCTAAATAGTTTGGATTACTTGATATTGTCATGCTTTTTAAAACTACATGAATGTAGCAACCACATCCCCCACATGGAAGGACGGTGGTGTCTGCGCAGTACAGAAGGAGATGTCGTCTGCATGTTCTCAGATTGATGATGATCATGAAGGTGAGTGTTTGAGGGTGTTTGTGGGTGTTTGTGTGCTCGTCCCCTCATGTGGCAGGTCACTATAAGACAGTACTGGAGATATCATGAGCCTGTGCAAGTTGTTTTCACCATTACCAATAGTTCCAATTTGACATTTAACTTGTAGGCAATTTTATATTTGTTATTTTTTTATATCTCACGCCAGGAGAAGTGGGTGGACGGTGTAACCCCATGTACCACGCCCAATACACGCCTGTCCCTCTCTTCTTTAAATATAAAGTGATGTCTGAATTTCCAATACACAAATGCGTTTTTGCCCATGCACTGCTGGCTCTGTTCTACTGGCTCCTCGATCTCGTCCATTGTGTGACTGACACCACCAACGTTAATAAGATGTTTACATAGCTCTTATTGCGTGCGTTCTGTTTGGGTTTCCGGCAGTGAATGGAATTACCGGGAAAAAAAAAAAAAAAAACAGCCCATAATGTGAAAACAGGAAAATACCACCATGTAATTCATTTATTTCAACAAAGCAACTGTATTCCAATTACCACTCATTGAAACTGAAACTGTAACGAATACAGTTACTCATAATCTGTATTCTGATTACGTAACACCGGCATATGACATCTGTTACTCCCCAACACTGACTATTACTACTACT